GTTTTGGGGCAGGAAGACAATCTACTTCGGAGTTTGGGGTGCCTATTTGGAAATGTCGTATTGGACTTAGACTTTTTCCTTCCAGATAAAACTGCAACCGAGTGTAATTTTGCTGGGCAGCCCTGAACTCTGAAGCTCAGTGGGATGTCCATGGGATGGGTAGACTCGGGTTTAGGTCCCCTTCTTGGCCCCAATACAACAGCTCTTCATGTTGTCTCAATCCAGCTTACCTCACAGGATTGTTGCTGGGGGCAAAATTAACAGAATAACAAGAGTTGGAAAAGGGACCTTGGAGGTCTTCTAGTCCAACCCCCCTTGGCCAAGCAGGAGACCCAATATCATTTCAGACAAATGGCCATCCAATCTTTTTAAAAGCCACCAGTGACAATAAGTAGAGGCATTCATTCCCTGCCAGTTTTAGGCAAGCGACATGATGTCAGCTTGAATCTTAAATCGTAAACCAGGTGTTGTTTTTTTTAAAAGAAATCCCATCTCTCTGCCAGAAATGAGACTCAGCCACTTCACAAGCCCCCTCAGTGCTACCCTCTCCCCATCTGCCAATGTTAAGCAAGCCCACCTGCCACAGGTAATTCTGAGCCAGCGTGGCTCAGCTTGGAAACCTCTCCCTTTCCCCTCAGCATGGCTGGCTCAGGAATTCTGGGAGTTGAAGTCCACGAGCCATAAAAGGGCCAAGGCTGCCTACCCCTGCCCTATATCATTTCAGACAAATGGCTGTCCAGTCTCTTCTTAAAAACTTCCTTCATTCATTTCAATACCTTCCAAATGACTAAACTGTACAGACAATTAACAGAATAATAGAGTTGGCAGGGACCTTTGAGGTCTTCTAGTCCAACCCCCTGCTCAGGCAGGAAACCCTGTATCAGGGGTAGGCAAACTTGGCTCTTTTATGGCTCATGGACTTCAACTCCCAGAATTCCTGAGCCAGCCATGCTGAGGAGAAAGGGAGAGGTTTCCAAGTTGAGCCATGCTGGCTCAGGAATTCTGGGAGTTGAAGTCCACGAGTCATAAAAAAGCCAAGGTTGCCTACCCATCTTAGGGAGTCTTCCTAAAATTGGGTGTTACTTACTTACTTGTCTTGCTTCGCAGTGGAAATTCTGGCCCAATAATGGCTGTAGATCGAGGACCATCTTTATTTAAGAGACAGTTGGTATAATATTCCCCAGCCATTCTGCAACTTTCCTCATCCTTCTGCATTGTTTTACCGGCATCCCGATAAGTCATCACTGTCATCCTTTTCACCAATCAGTTTTAAGTCTTTTATCAGTGGGCTGGTCTTATTTTCTCTCTCTCTTTTTTTTAACCATCAGACAGAACAATCTGTCAGGTGCAATCTCGACATTTGCCTGTCCTGCAATGCAATCCTTGCGGTCGACTCCTTTTCTTCTGCAGCCTTCGAAGAAAGGGGTAGAGGATGCTGCCACTCAATCTTTCCCAATTTCTCTGTGAGTTTTGCTGATACTAGCCCTCAAGGTGACACAACAAATAGGACAGAACAGGAACACCATTATTTGACTTCTTGATTAAAAACAAACAAACAACCTGAAGCAGAAGACTTAGCTTTTTCTAAGGGCGGGAAGATTCTCATCAGATCTCAAAGCCTTCCTGTTTATGTTTCCCTGAACCAGGGGTAGGCAACCTTGGCTCTTTTATGACTCATGGACTTCAACTCCCAGAATTCCTGAGCCAGCCTGGCTCAGCTTGGAAAGTTCTCCCTTTCTCCTCAGCATGGCTGGCTCAGGAATTCTGGGAGTTGAAGTCCACAAGTCATAAAAGGGCCAGGTTTGAAGCCTCCTGCGCTAGATTAACAAATAATCCAGGGCAGAGCTAAAACAGTATTCAGAGACCAGGATAGATCTCTCTAAAGCCAGAGTAGGCAACCTTGGCTCTTTTATGACTCGTGGACTTCAACTCCCAGAATTCCTGAGCCAGCCTGCCTCAGTTGGAAAACTCTACCTTTCCCCTCAGCATGGCTGGCTCAGGAATTCTGGGAATTGAAGTCCATGAGTCATAAAAGAGCCAAGGTTGCCTACCCCTGCTCTAAAAGGACGCAAATGACCAGCTGTCTGCAAGGAGTATAATTCCTTCCATTCCCCACCATCCAGTCAGAGCTAAAGAAGCTTCTTGGATGAGAAGCGAAACGTCTTCAAAGAAAAATAAGAAAGTCCAGATGCCTCTTGAAAAAAGCACCTTTGGGACAACCATGAGCTGGAGACTCTCCACAGACACTGCAGTTGTTCACTGAATCACACGATTGTGAAACGTATTGATTCCCCCACCAACTTGGTTTGTTGGGAGCTGGCTCCGGAGATCCCCAATGGCAATCCGGTCATCTTGGGATGTTGCATCTGTCATAAACACACGCTGGTTGCACAGCGTCCAAATTCTGATCGTGTGACCAGGGAAGACTGCAACGGTCGTTAAATGCAAGAACTGGTCATAAGTCACTTTTTTCAGTGCCATTGTAACTTTGGATGGTTGCTAAATGAATGGCTGTAAGTCGAGGACTACCAGTACTTAAAAAAAAAAAAAAGATGTTTTGAGTCATATGTATCTCCCGTTCTCAGCACCGTTTTCCTCAGCACTAATACAGGTAGTTCTCAACTTACAACACTTTGTTTAGTGACCGTTACAACAACGCTGAAAAAGTGACTTAAGTCATTTTTCACACTTAGGCCCATTGCAGCATCCCCACGGTCTCATGATCGAAATTCAGACACTTGGCAATTGACTCATATTTATGACGGCTGCGGTGTCCGGGAGGGTTACGCAATGCCCTTTTGCGACTTCCTGACAAGCAAAGCCAATGGGGAAGCCGGATTCAATGAACAACTGGGTTAATTTGGCAACCGCAGTGATTCACTTCTGGGAAGAAAGGTCACAAAACTCCTTTAACAAGCGTCTCACTTAGCAACAGAAACGTTGAGCTCCATTGTGGTCATAAGTCGAGGACTACCTGTGTTTCCCTGAAAATAAGACCGGGTCCTATTTTATTTTATTTTTTGCCTCCGAAAGAGGCACCAGGTCTTACTTTCAGGGAATGTCAGCCCACCCAACTGGCCCAATTCTTCTGGGGGCGAAGGAGCAGCTTCATTCCGCAGCTGCATTTTGGCCTGCATTTCGCAGTCACAGGCCTTTCCAGAAGGCCTCTGCAGCCGAGTACTGAGCTACAGATTCAATCCATAGTTCGGCCCTCAACTGCAGAGGTCTTGCAGAACCGAGTTATGGATTGAATCCATAGCTCAGTACTCGGCTGCAGAGGGCTTCCGGAAAGGCCTGTGACTGAGAAATGCAGGCCTGGCTGCAAAAGACACCTCAGAAAAAGAAGTGGGGCGGTGAGGGGAGGCCTAGCTGCGAGGTAAGTGGGTACACATAGGGCAGATCCACCCCCCACTCCCACCCTAGCTTAATTTTTAGGCATGTGCCTCGCCCCAAAATTAGGGCTTATTTTTGGGATAGAGCTTATATTAGGGCCAACCCCAAAAATCAAGCTAGGGCTTATTTTCGGGGTAGGCCTTACTTTCGGGAAAACCAAGCACCTGTATTACCTCTTAAAGCAGTGTTTCTCAACCTTGACCATTTTAAGGCATGTGGACTTCAACTCCCAGAATTCCACAGCCAGCAATGCTGGCTGTGGAATTCTGGGAGTTGAAGTCCACATGCCTTAAAATTGTCAAGGTTGAGAAACACTGTCTTAAAGTGTCTTATTAGGAAATTATGAATTTTCAACAGGAACAACCGTCTCCAACCTCACCCTCTTTTCTCCCCTTCCAAGATCTGTAAGATGAGCACAACTCCACTCAATCCATCCTCAACACAGACCGACTCAATCTCTGCCACCAGAACAAGAAACAAACAGGAATCCAGGGTTAAGAGGTGGGATCTTGAACCCTCAGTCCTCCTGCAGGCCACCAGGATTTCCTAGCCAGAGTTCCCCAACCGTTCTGGGTTGGCGGCCTGGAGCAGGAGGGATGATTCTGTGCGTGTGAGGGATGAACGCACATGTGCGCACGAACACCTGTTGCTTGCGCGTGTGGGGCCGTGAGCACCTGTGACGCTCACAACGCTTGAGCAATTGGGGCTGCAAACTCCCACCACACTCGCAGTGACGCTCGTGCAAGTGGGGCTGCAAATGCCCGTGATGCTCGCATGAGTAGGGCCGCAAATGCCCGCGATATTGGCGGCAATACTTGCATGCGTGATACTATGAATGCCCGTGACACTTGCAGCGATGCTCCCTTGAATGGGGCCGCATACACGCTTCCCCGCACGCACCGGCCAGCCCCTCATGCAGCCCAGTGTCCAATAGGCCACAGCACGGTAGTGTTCTGTCCCAGCCTACGTGAGTCCTTGTTATGCTCACAAGGAGAAACCCCTCTTCCAACAAGCAGGCTGGAATCGCAGGAAAAAACCAATCCCCTTTTATTATTCACAGACCTGAGTCAATGTCCAAGGCAAACAAACACAGTCCACAGAAACTGGATCCTCAACACGAATGGTTGCCTTTGGCAACCAGCACCTCCCACACCTTCCCTTTTATTATGCAGCCAAGGCGTGGCTTCCTAATGCCTTCTCCTTTGCCTTTGGAGCCGCCCCATTGCCTTCCTCTGTCCTACTCTCTTTTCTTGCCGGCGTTTTCGTGCATCCTGGATATCTCCCAGCTGTGATTCATCACTGTCCAACTCAGACTCCCAACACAGCTGTGTCTCAGCCCGAGCGCGAGTAGAGGGGCCAGGTTCCTCGTCCGACAGTAAGTCTTGGAGCTCCTCAGAGGCTTCCTCTGACTCTAATGTCACTCCAGGCCCCTCCTCCTCCTCTGATTCCTCAGACTCAGCTGCCGGGTCCACTGGCTGGCGAGGAATCACAACAGGTAGTGGGCCATGGCCCACAGGCTGGGGACCCCTGTGCTAGACCACAGTACACAGGGCGCCCTAATTCCCTTCCCCCCTCCCCGACTTAAAATTAGGCTGCCGATACCAAAATCCAATTTAGAAAGACTTTATTAAATTCGGACGAAAGAGAGATCTGAAGAGAAATAAAGCAGGGTGCAGTAGAAAAGAACGATTAAATAAAAGTAGCTTCTACGATGCCTATATTGAATCACTATAAGCCAAGGTCCATTAACTTGCATCCGACAGCATGGATCTCCATGTGCGTTAAGCCAAAGACGAGAGAGAAAGGAAATAAAAAATGCCTGCGATTACTTTGAGGTAAAGGGGGGGGGGTGGAGAGGGTGGGAGGAGGAGGGCTGAAAAGAAGGGGGGAAACCCCACCAATCGGAACCTGGCAAGAATGTGCTGGTTGAGCCCTCCTGAAAGAGAAATGGCTCACTCATCCTCGCCAAAGCGAGAAACCAAAGGGGATAGACGGGCTCGCTCTGGTAGACCCTCGGCGTGACGATTCCAGCAGGCCTTCCTCTTGCGATACCAAATTCATGGCTGCCTTTGGGCCACAGACCTCTGCAACCACGTGTCTCCTGGACAGGGACCGTTTTCCTGATAGGGGACAGCGCTTTAGGATGGAATCCAACTCGATTCCATCCATCCCATGACCAGAAGTCTGCTCTCTTCAATGTCCATTCCTCACTCCCCCCCCCCAAAAAAATGCCAGGTGCCAAATCCACACCCTGCAGCGGCTCGGGAGGGGGAAATCAAAGCGAGCAGGAGCACCCAGCCAAAACTGGAGCCCACCAAAATGTTCACGTTGAACCGGTTACAGGGTACATGCAATCAAAACGTTGAGTAGTGCTGTTCATTAAATCAACTCACTTAAAATATGTTTTTTTTTAAAAAAAATAATAATCTAAGAGGTAAGGAAAAGGGGGGGGGAGCCACAAAGGCAATAGAGACAATCAGTCCTATTCACCTTCATACGATCTGGACTACCTCCCCAAAAATAAAAATAAAAAAAAATCACTGTTTTGTTCTGGCTGTCTGTTAAGCGATGCAGCCCTGGAATTCAGCAGAAAAGGTACGACGCCGTACCTTCTGGAAAAACAAAAACTAATATAGAGGCGAGAGAAGAGCTTTCCGCCTTCTCTTGCCAACGAGTCTTTTCATGCACGAGGAGTTTTGGTTTCTGAACGAAGCGCTTTCCCATCAGCACTCAGACCATCTGTCTCCGGGCGTGGATTTTTTCATGCTTGTGGAGGTTGGAACGATGGCCAAAGCATTTGCCGCAGACCATGCAACGGTAGGGAGTCTCCTTCGTGTGGGTCCTCTGGTGAGCAACGAAAGCCGATTTGTCCCGGAAACTTTTGGGACATTCGGGGCACTGATAGGGCTTTTCTCCCGTATGGATTTTCTCGTGCTGAACCAGCCCAGCGTTCTGAGAAAAACTTTTCCCGCACTCCGCGCAGTGGTACGGCCTCTCTCCGGTGTGGGATCTCCTGTGCTTCCGAAGAGAAGACGCGTCGCCAAAGCTCTTCCCACATTCCACGCAGACGTAGGGCTTTTCTCCCGTGTGGATCCTCTCGTGGACAATGACGTTAGCCCGATGCCGGAAGCTCTTCCCACAAACCGAGCAGGGGTAGGGCTTCTCTTCTGTGTGGATCCTCATGTGTACGTGGTATGCGGAGGTGTTGCGGAAGCTCTTCCCACAGACGGGGCACTCGTGCGGTTTCTCTCCTGTGTGGATACGCTGGTGCCGGATCACATCGAACTTGTGGGCGAAACTCTGCCCGCAGTCTACGCAGTGATACGGCTTCTCTCCCGTATGTGTCCTCTGATGAGCCAAGAGCCCACTTTTCTTGCTAAAGCTTTGTTCGCAGTCCGGACAAGGGAAAGCCTTCTTTGGCACGTGGCTTTTTTCGTGGGCGGTCAGTTGCGAACGCTGGCTGAAGCTCTGCCCGCATTTGGAGCAAATGAAGGGTTTTTCTCCTGTGTGGATGCTCTGGTGGGCCACCAGCACGTCTATCCCCGAAAAGCTCTCTCCGCAGTCCCAACAGGTGTACGGGTTCTCCACCGAAGCTGGAAAAGAAACAGATTTGCCTGCTAAATTACCTTCGCCGGTTTGGGACTGATCTATGGACGCACCTTTTGTAGGATCCAATCTGAGCCGGTCACTGGGACCAGAGGTTTGTTCTTCTCAGGTTTTCAGCCTTGTGCTGGAGCCCACTTCTCGGTCTCCAAGATACATCCTGGAGATTGACAATTTCCCTGAGGATGGGCTCCAGCCCAAGTCTGGAAGCTTGGAAGGACAAACCTCAGGTCCCACTGACTGACTCTGATTGGATTCTGTACCATTATCCTGGGACACGTATATTTGCCTTCACACAGCTTATGGTTCAGGATCCGGGGATGCGTTCGGCACTGCTCTGTCGGACAGCATCCAAGGTGCTGCAACTCGCCTAGAACTGGAGGGGGGAGGTATTCTTTACTTGCCCCAAAGGCTGAAATAAGGAGAGGTGCTTTATAACGTGGCTTTTGTCTCTGCCAGGGAAGCAGGAGGCTTCCAAGGAAAGGCCCAAACTGGAGTCAAACCACTGGTAGTGCCAATCCAAAGCTTTTTGTAAACTTGGCAATGCCACGATTGTCTCAAGAGTGTAGGGGCAGCTCTGGAAAATCTACCCAGCTCAATACTGGCCTCTTTATCAAAACTGAATGATTAAGTGGCAGCTTAAACAGAGGGATGGCATCGAAGCTATTTTAAATGGAAATTGAGTTTCGTGATCTTGGAGCAGGGAAATCAACATTCTGGAGGTCAGGAGGGGAATAACAAAAGCAAGTGGAACAGCGATGTCACAACATCACTGGAACCCCTAGGACAGGGGTAGACCACCTGGGCCCTTTTATGACTCATGGACTTCAACTCCCAGAATCCCGGAGCCAGTATGGCTCAGCTTGGAAACTTCTCTCTTTCCCCTCAGCATGGCTGGCTCAGGAATTATGGGAGTTGAAGTCCACCAGTCATAAAAGAGCCCAGGTTGCCTACCCCTGGGCTAGGAAGTGTGGGGAAGAATTCTGCTTTTTTATGCCAGTTTTGTTTACCTTTTACCTTGTTGTTTTGGGTTGAAAGGCTGGGAAATCCTTACCCAGTAAAGGGACATCCTCTTCTTTGTTCTCCCTGAACATCGGCCATTCGCTTGACTCCATCGGTGTCCCCACAGACCCATGGAAATCCACAGTTGCCTCTTTGAAGGGCCACAGACCCTGAAAAAGCAGTCAGACCCAATGTCAACACCAGCAGAAGGAAGGAGTGAGAAGTTAAGGAGGATCTGGCCTCTCTTGCCAGCCTAACTCTACGCCTAATCCTCAAATACATCCTTAATTGGGAAAATACGGTCTGTCTACATCAGGGGTCTTCAAACGTGGCCCTCTTTATGACTTGTAGACTTCAACTCCCAGAATTCCTCAACCTGGCTGAGGAATTCTGGGAGTTGAAGTCCACAAGTCATAAGAGGGCCACATCTGAAGACCCCTGGTCTACATATAAGTAGTCCTCGACTTATAGCCACAATTGGGACCGGAATTTCAGTTGTAAGTTGAGTCATCACGTGACTGGATCCAATTTTACAACCATTTTTACGACAATCGTTATGTTGAGTCACTGCAATCATAACCCAAGTCATGCAGTCGTTGTGGGCGAATCGATGGCTTAAGCCGTGGCAGGTTTCGCTGTTAGGTCGCATAAACGTCGCAAATCATGATCAAGTGTCCATGGATGCTGCAACCTGTCACAAATGCGAATTGATTGCCAAATACCCAAATTGTGATCATATGGCAGTGCAGAAAGGATGGTTGTAAACTCCAATTTAGGCTGTGACTAACTTTTTTGAAGGATGCTGTTAATTCAAGCCATTGTTAGTTGAGGGCTACTTATCCAGTGGACACCTGCGTATGCTGGACCCTTTGATTATTATACTGCCTGGTATATACGGTAGTATCTGTATAAGCCATGGGATAGGCAACCTTGGCTCTTTTATGACTCGTGGACTTCAACTCCCAGAATTCCTGAGCCAGTCATGTTGAGGGGAAAGGGAGAGGTTTCCAAGCTGAGCCATGCTGGCTCAGGGATTCTGGGAGTTGAAATCCACGAGACATAAAAGAGCCAAGGTTGCCTACCCCTGGCCTATACCATCTCAGACAATGACTGTCTGGTCCAGGGGTAGGCAACCTTGGCTCTTTTATGACTCGTGGACTTCAACTCCCAGAATTCCTGAGCCAGCATGGCTCAGCTTGGAAACCTCTCCCTTTCCCCTCAGCATGGCTGGCTCAGGAATTCTGGGAGCTGAAGTCCACGAGTCATAAAAGAGCCGAGGTGACCTACCCTTGGCCTAGGCAATCCTTGATTTACAACCACTTGTTTAGTGACCATTCAAAGTTACAACGGCACTGAAAAAAGTAACTTGTGGCCCCTTTTCACACTTACGACAGTGGTCACGCGATCAAAATTCAGGTGTTTGGCCACCGACTCATATTTACGACAACTGCAGTATTCCAGGGTCGTGTGATCACCTACTGTGACCTCCTGACAAGCAAAGTCGATGGGGAAGCCAGATTCACTTAACAACCGGGTCACTAACTTAACCACTGCAACGATTCGCTTAATAACTGTGGTAGGAAAGGTCGCAAAATGGGACAAAACTCACTTAACGAATGTCTCAATTAGCAAAAAAGAAATTTTGGGCTCAAATTTTAAGTGGTTTTAAGCCCAGGGCTGCCCGTACTGCTGATTCTTCTCAAGGATGGGACGAGAAAGCAAAACGGAAAATCAGCCCAGATGACTCGGAAAATCAGCCCAGATGACTCGCATCATCTTATCTCTACATCCCTCCTGATGTGCTGAGACGGCAACTCCCCAGAACTCCCATCTGGCAAAGCTTCTAGGAAGTTGGTGGCCACTCTCTGGCCTGTCAAAAGTGTTTTTTCTCTAGCCAGAAAGGATCCTTTGAACTCTATTGGAAAAAGCAGGGACTCTACCGCCTTCTCAGGCTTGGGGGGGTGATTTCAATGGGCGCAGCCCCTCTTAAAACTGAGATAACTGAGGCTTCCCTCCCCCAGGCATACAGGTAGTCCTCAATCTGCGGTCACACCATTTCTGTTGCTAAGGGAGACAGTTCTGTGAGTGTTGCCCCACTTTACGACTTTTCTTGCCACAGGTGTGAAGTGAATCACTGCAGTTGTGGAATGAGTAACACGGTTGTTAAGTGAATCTGGCTCCCCCATGGACTTTGCCTGTCAGAAGGTTGCGATATAGGAGCTCACACGACCCTGGGATACTGGAACCGTCATAAATGTGAGTCACTGGCCATACGCCTGAATTTCGATCACGTGACCCCGGGGATGCTACAATGATTCTAAGTGTGAAAGGCAGTCATAAGTCACTTTGTTCAGCGCTGTTGTAATTTTGAATGGTCACTAAATGAACTGTTGTTAAGTCACCGGTACTTCCAAAAGCAAACATGCAAAAAAAAAAAAAAAAAACCCAAAAAAAAAAACAAACCCAACAACACTAAGAATATTGCAAAGGCAGGTTACTTTTAATGAACACTGGAGGTTTTTAAGAAGAGACTGGACAGCCATTTGTCCGAAATGGTATAGGGTTTCCTGCCTGAGCAGGGGGTTGGACTAGATGACCTCCAAGGTCCCTTCCAACTTTACTATTTTTTATTATTATTATTATTAATTTTTGATCCAAATCTCTCATCTGCTCGTTTCCACAAAGCTTTCCAAAACAAAGACAGCAGAACCAGCCTGTTATTTTTCTATGCCTGCTCTTTCCCGGATTTAAATCTGCTGTTTGAAACGTTCAACGCTTGTTCCTCCTGATTTGTTTGAAGGAAGCCCTCAAAAGCTGCTACTCGTGGTATCTTTCCTAGCTCACAGTTAATCTTCCGTTCCTGTAATTCCAAACAAATTCCAAACATTCTGGAGAGACCAGGCCTTCCTGACTTGAAGGGGAACAAACATTTGCAGCCTCCGTGCCCGTCTGGAATTTGAAAGCGTTGTACAAAATGGCTGCCGAGGTAAGGTCTTTCCTAGTCTCAAAATGGCAGCCAAAATGCCCAGAAAGTTTAATAGCTATTGAGAAAAATGACTTGTTTCCAATCTCTCTCTCTCTTTTTTTTTTTTTAAAAAAATGCCTGCAAATTTCAAAAGTGAACGTGAAAATAGCTTGGAAGAAGGTATGGGGCAACCTTTATAAAAACATTTAACTTTGTCCAGAGGAAGAGGGTGAGGAATAAATTCAAAATTGGCCCACCCTGACTCTCTTAGATGTAAGAGGAAGAGAGAAGCTGTTAGGTTTTCAAGATTTTGTTATGATATGTAGACTAGACCAGAGGTAGGCAACCTTGGCTCTTTTATGACTCCTGGACTTCAACTCCCAGAATTCCTGAGCCAGCATGGCTCACTTTAGAAACCTCTCCCTTTCCCCTCAGCATGGCTGGCTCAGGAATTCTGGGAGTTGAAGTCCACGAGTCATAAAAGAGCTAAGGTTGCCTACCCCTGCTCTAGAGCATCCAGTGTTTTTCAAACATGGCAACTTTAAGAAGAGTGGACTTCAACTCCCAGAATTCCTGAGCCAGCCGTGCTGAGGGGAAAGGGAGAGGTTTCCAAGCTGAGCCAGGTTGGCTCAGGAATTCTGGGAGTTGAAGTCCACCAGTCATAAAAGAGCCAAGGTTGCCTAGCCCTGGACTAGATGACCTACAACAGGGGTCTTCTTGGCTCTTTTATGACTCATGGACTTCAACTCCCAGAATTCCTGAGCCAGCATGGCTCACCTTGGAAACCGCTCCCTTTCCCCTCAGCATGCTGACTCAGGAATTCTGGGAGTTGAAGTCCACGAGTCATAAAAGAGCCAAGGTTGCCTACCCCTGGACTAGACCAGTGTTTCTCAACCTTGGCAACGTGAAGATGTGTGGACTTCAAGTCCCAGAATTCCACACAGCTTCATACCTTGCCAAGGTCCAAAACGCTGCTTTCACCTGCTGCTTCTCTCCAGCTAAATTTTGGGAGCCGTTCTTGACACCCCTTGTGAAGGCTCAGTTTCACCGCTGACCCTGACCAACCTGTCTCCTCACCTGCCGTTCCCGCCGCTCTGTCCCTTGCTGACGCCCCAGGAACTCCTCCGCCAGGCTAACGGCTTGAAAGCAAGTCTCCGGATGCCTGGCTCGGACCCAATTCTGCATTTCTTCGGGCAAGATGGACAGGAACTGCTCCAGGATCACCAGCTCCAGGATCTGGCTCTTGGAACGCCGCTCCGGTTGCAGCCAGCGATGGCAGAGCTTCCAGAGCATGCCGCAGACCTCGCGGGGCCCCTCGGCATCCTGGTAGCAGAACTGACGGAAACACTGGCGCTCAATGTCCAGGCTGGCGCCGGTCACCTCCAGGCCTTCCTCTCCCACTTCTATGAACTCAGTTTTGTCTTTCGCAGAGGCGCTGTTGACCAACTGATGGGTTCCTTCGCCAAGGTGCAAGAGGGGCTGGGTCACCCTGTTCCGCCGGCGACGCGGCCCGAGGTCGGAGCTTTCCTCCAGGGAAGAGAGCTCGGCCTCCGAATGGCCACTTCCTTCTGCCCTCAGCAGCTGCTCATTCCCCGGCTCGGAAGTTGGGGACTGTTTGCCCATGATAAATTTCTCTTCTTCCACTTCCAAGCGACAGTCTTCCGGGTCGGCCTCTGGCTCCCGCTTAATGGCTTCCGCCGTTACGCTTTCCAGGGATTCCTTGGCCCTCTCCGAGGGGATCCTCACAGGCCTTTCCGCCACCTCCTTCTCGGGTTCTGCTTCTTCCTGCATCTCAATCTTCACCCCGTCCTCCAGATCGGCGTCCAGCTGGAGGTCCAAGCTGGCTGGGTTTCTGTGTTCTCCTGCCATTCTCGCGTCCTAATAGCAAGGTTGGGATCGTCCGAGGGAACACCTCCTTTCTCGGTGATGCCAGTTAAAGTGGAAGGAACAAGGAAGCGTTTCGGCCTGGAAGAAAATTAAAAAGACAATTCAAGAGAATGCCATGAATCAGATTTGGAGCCAGTCGTGGTGTCAGACCTGCCTCAGCTTGAACCTCTAAGTAAAAACGATCCATGACTCTATTTGTGGGTAAAGGTATGTTTATTACAAGTCAAGTGGATTATAGTTATGCAAAGCCAGAATTGAAAATTGTGCCAAAATTTGGTCGCCACGATGTAAAAAAGATGTTTAGACTCTAGAAAGAGTACAGAGAAGAACAACAAAGATGATCAGGGGACTGGAGGCTAAAACATATTAGGAACAGTTGCTGGAATTGGGTATGTCTAGTTCAATGAGGAGAAGGACGAGGGGGGACATGATAGCAGTATTCCAATATCTCAGGGGCTGCCACAAAGAAGAGGGAGTCAAGCTATTCTCCAGAGCGCCTGAAGGCAGGACAAGAAGCAACGGATGGAAACTAATCAAAGAGAGAAGCAACCTGGAACTAAGGAGAAATTTCCTGACAGTGAGAACAATTAATCAGTGGGACAACCTCCCTCCAGAAGCTGTGAATGCTGCAACACTGGAAGTTTTTAAGAAGAAATTGGACCACCATTTGTCTGAAATGGTATAGGGCAGGAGTAGGCCACCTTGGCTCTTTTATGACTCGTGGACTTCAACTCCCAGAATTCCTGAGCCAGCATGGCTCAGCTTGGAAACCTCTCCCTTTCCCCTCAGCATGCCTGGCTGAGGAATTCTGGGAGTTGAAGTCCACGAGTCATAAACGGGCCAAGTTTGAAGACCCTTGAGCTAGAGTGATGGAAAGCCCAAAGATGCTTTCTCAAGAGGCAACTGGACTTTTTTGTGTTTTTCCTTGAAAACGTTTCGCTTCTCACTCAAGAAGCTTCTTCTGTTCAGTTCAGAACTGAAGAAGCTTCTTGGGTGAGAAGCGAAACATCTTCAAGGAAAAAAAAAGTCCACTTACGTCTTGAAAAAACACCTTTGGATTTAACACTAATTAGTGATTGGGTTGATTTAACAAATGTAGAAATACTCCATTTGGAGGGTTGGGATTTACTTTTTGGATGGCATGCCTAGCTAATTTTTAATAAAAAAGTGGATCGGGTTTTTAAATCTCATATTATAAGGATTTCTTTACTTCGGGTTTGGAGGAAATATTATAAAAGTGAGTTTAAAATACCATTATGGGCCATACCTTGGCATGCGATAGAGGGGATAAGAAGAGGAGTTAAAATGGATAGTGTTTCTTATGCGCAGTTACTCAGGTGGGATGGTAAAAATTGGCAGTTAAAATCTTTGGAAGATTTAGCACATGAAAATATTATATATTCATGGTTTCAGTATAGACAAATAGCTGATAGATGGAAGATAGATCGTAATGTGGGTCTGCTCAGAGAAGATGAAAATCTCTTTAAACAAGTAAAAGATCAAAGGCGAACTCACATTAAGAGAATTTATGGGGTGCTAGTAGAACTGGACTCAGAACCAGAACTAATTAAAGAATGTATGATTAAATGGGCACAAAATTTTGGTGAAACAGTTCTACTAGATACCTGGGAAACCATCTGGGTGAGGAATGTTAAATTTACACAAGCCCAGAACTTAAGGGAGAATTTTTACAAAATGTTTTATAGATGGCACCTTGATCCACAAAAAATGTCTTGTATGTATCCTGACTTACAGCCTAAATGTGGGAGATGTGGTTGTTTGGATGCTACTTATTATCATATTTGGTGGTCGTGTAAAAATATAAAAGTCTTTTGGATTAAGATATGGTGGAATATTCAAAGAATTTTTAGAAAGAGGGTAAAATTTACCCACAATTGTTTTTGTTAGGTATTGTTACTGATTGTGATGCTAAGGAAGTTATATTGATGTTAAATTTGATTACGGCCGCTAGGCTGTTAGTAGGGCAATATTGGAAGAAGGAATCTTTGCCTACCTTGCAAGAGTGGTTTTTAAAAGTTTCTTATTTGGCGGAAATGGCAAAGATTTCGGCTTTCTTAAAGGAGCAATCGCAAGAGAAATTCTTTGCGGTATGGGAAAAATGGATAAATTTTATACAATATAAATTGGATATAAAAAATATCATTTAGTTTTTTAATAACTTGTATATAAACTTTAATATTTTATAGATTGTACTTTTTTATATCTCTTTTCTTCTTTCTCTTTTCTTTTTTATTATCTCTTTTTCTTTCAAGTACTTTTTCTTTTTAATACGTATGCTTTTTTTACATATATTTTATTGTTAATTATTTTATAAATTGTTTATGTAAGGTATTTAGATATATTTATGATTTATACTTTTTCAATTTTTTTAAGATTCTTAAAAATTTTAATTAAGCCTATATTCAGCTCTGGGAAGGTCGGGGGGGGATGGAGAGGGAGGGTTGGGGTGGGTGGGTTAGGGTTGTTTTTTTTTGCTTTTTGTAAAAATATCTAAACATTTTCAATAAAAAAGAAAAGAAAAGAAAAAACACCTTTGGGGAACACCGTGGCCTGGATGACTAAAAATCTCCACAGACATTTAGAGGGATGGAAGATCTTGATGTAACAGTAATACCATATTTTAGCCAAACAAATGCACAAAAGATGGCTTAATGTTCAATATATTTCTACTATTGGATTGTCATAAAGTAGCCTAGAGAAGAGACAATTAAAACTGGAGTAATCTTTCAGAATGTGCAACTCAGAGGTTTTGACTGCACTGATCTAATAATAGTAGTAGTAAAGTTGGAAGAGACCTTGGAGGTCATCTAGTCCAACCCCCTGCTCGGGCAGGAAACCCTACACCATTTCGGACAAATGGCTGTCCAGTCTCTTCTTAAAAACGAGGTCTCCCAATTTGACTCCTGCTGGTATCATCCCAATAATCCTAATATTTATACCCAAGTACAAAGTTATGCAACCTGAGGCCAGGTACAGCGATATCCCTTTATTACTCAAAGTTTTTATTAATTAGGCTGATAAACAGAGACAGACTTTGAGGAAATTCTGCTGGGATTACTTTTCTGATATGTTTGTACATATCTGTCTTTGCCTACCCCCTCCTTCCAGACAGACTGTAATTCCTTTTTAAATGGCTGGCTCAGGAATTCTGGGAGTTGAAGTCCATGAGTCACAAAAGAGCCAAGGTTGTCTACCCCTGGGATAGAAGCCCATAGAAGAGGTAAGGAAATTCCAAAAGCAAGGAGGACACCAGGGAAATCATTGATACTCATCAAGAGAATATCTAGCAAACGGAGAGATCAGTGTGTGGCTGAGCAAGAACACAGAGAGAGGGAGGGGTGCCCTGCAAAGCTTGGCAGTTGTGCGGCAAGAAGACTGGCTGGGCGGGCCGGTGGAGAAATCAGTGGCAGATTACTGAGAAATGGGGATGTGAGATGTGGAGGTCCGATCCATACTTTTATGCACCTGCAAACGGCAGACAGGTTTAACAGATCTTTAGGAAGGGAAGTTTTGAGAAAAAGAGAAACTGGAATTTCCAGAAGGCCGAGTTAACCCACCAAAACTGGCAAAGGGAAAGGAGGGAGGGAGGGAGGGAGAGAGAGAGGGAGAGAAACAAAAGGGGGATTGATCAGAGAAGGAAGACCCAGCATCGAACATGAACAGGCGGCTGTCATCCATGGATCAAATTACCTGACTGCCTACCAGGTATCACTATTGGGGTGGGTGGGTGGAGAAACAAAATGTGTAAAAGAAAACATTATTAATCAGAGTCTGGAGTCACCACATAGTCTGACTCACTGCAACGGGTGGGAAATCCAGTGCAATTTACCTCAAGAGGCGGCTGTCCGACCTTAAAAACCTCCAGAGATGGAAGGATTCACAATCTCTACAGAGGAGACCGTTCCAATGTTGCACAGACTCGCCCAAAGGTTTGTCCTTCTATATTATTGTTGTTATTATTATTATTAATAATAACAGTAATAATAAAGTTGGAAGGGACCTTGGAGGTCATTTAGTCCAACCCCCTGCTCAGGCAGGAAACCCTATACCATTTCGGACAAATGGCTGACCAGTCTCTTAAAAACTTCCAATGTTGGAGCATTCACTGCTTCTGGAGGCAGGTTGTTCCACTGGTTAATTGTTCTCACTGTCAGGAAGTTTCTCCTTAGTTCTAGGTTGCTTCTCTCCTTGCTTAGTTTCCACCTGTTGCTTCTTGTCCTGCCTTCAGGCGCTTTGGAGAATAGCTTGACTCCCTCTTCTTTGGGGCAGCCCCTGAGATATTGGAACACTGCTATCCTGTCACCCCTCATCCTTCTCTTCATTAAACTAGACATACCCAATTCCAGCAGCCGTTCCTTATATGCTTTAGCCTCCAGTCCCCTGATCATCCTTGTTGTTTTAAATCAAATGTACATAGCTGCAACTTACTTCTGCTATTTCAATTCTATAGGTAGCCCTGGACTTACGATGGGTTGCTTAGAAACCATTCAAAATTCCAAAAAAAGCTTGCTTTCGACCCCGATTTGAAGTTCCAACATCCGCCTTTCCTAACCCCACAGTCGTGTGATAGCATTTTGGGCACATTTAAGGCCATTTGCAGGCGTTCTGGGGTTACGTGACCACAATTTACGTTTTGGCTGGAAACTGACTTTGACTTACAGTTACTGTCAAAAATTGTCCCAAAGCGAACATTGGGTCCATTTAATGACCACGGGGTTTTCTTTACGATGGTGGAGTTCCCTTAATGACTACTGAAAAGTAGGTCATGAAGTTGGGCTTCGTCGTGACTTAGGACCCATATTAAAATTGAGGACTACCTGCCTTGGAAAACTGTTCTTAACCATCTCCCTTATACTGTAGCTTTCCTTTGTATACCCGATCACATCACATTTTTTCTTTTCTCCAGACAAAACCCCTCATCTTTCTCACAAGGCATGTTCTTAACCAAAGAAAATTATCGATCTATTCACCAAATGAAGTTATATGCTAAATTTAGGAGCCGGCCTCATTTTCAGCCATTCAACATCTTCCTTTATCGATCCTTTATTGCAGAATTGATTTTTCTCTCTCTGTGGGAAGGGAATAATATAGGCCATGTTGCCTGCAACAAAAACTAAGGATTTTCCAAAGTCATATCTTGTACCCAATCATTAAAAAAAAAAAGGAAAAATGGGTTAGATTACCTCCAGAGACTCTTTTGCTAAAAACAATTCCGATTTGAGGGTCAGAAAATTATTCCAAATCATAACGATATTAACTTTTCAGGTTACAAAGCAGGAAAGGGAAAAACAAAGCAAAGCAGGTCTGTATTAATACCCCTGCTGAAGCAGCAGCTTCTTGAACTGCTTCATCAAGAGTTACTTCATCAAGGACTATTCAGCTTGTATTCCTAAAACTGTTTCTTTCAGCATGTACACACTAAGAACCAATAGCCAATTTTATGTTATTGTTCCTCTTTCCGTTTTCTATCTTTCCTCTTAAATGTTAATCCTTAAAAAGCTTACTTTTAAGATCAAAGATTAAGTTTAAGCCTTTCTGTTGATCGTGCTGATTTTTATGAACCAATCCAGGAGCCAGTGTTTGCTAAAGAATTAAAAACATTGCTTTGAGCAACGTTTTTTTTTTTAACCAGGATAATTAGGGTGCCACCCTTTTAATTCATACCATTACAACTATCTCTCCGAAATAGTTACGCTGAATGGAATTCTGTTCAATATATCTGGAAGGATATATTGGACAAGAATATTGCTTGGCTTCCATTTCACTCTAAAATTATGCATTTAAATTCAGAATAATCTTCCTGATTAGACCACATTATGGAAAAGCTATCATTCAAAATAGAATGCAATACACGTGTATCCTATTTTGTTTTTCGTAATATGCAAGAAAATCTTTAACAAGATTTGGAAATTATGTCTGTGGGACCTGGTCTTTGGGTGTCACGTAAATTTCGTTGTATGTGTATACTGTGTATAAACATACAATGACAATAAAGTTTATTTATTTATTTTTAAATGAAAAAGTTCCAATTGGCTCTGTTCGGTAATCTGAAACTTAATAAATGTAGAATTTTATTTATCTCCGGCACAAGGTATTATCTTATATTGCTGTTTATCTTTTAGATTGTTCACTCTCAGGTGTAATATATGCAAATTGGATTCATGGGTTGCAGAGTTTGTGTTCACTGGAGTGGCAATTAAGCTCTGAAAATATCCCAGAGTGATGGACTGAACAAGCTTCTTGGATGAAAAAACGGAACGTTTTCAGAGAAAAAACAACAAGGAAGTCCAGTTACCTTTTGGACATCCCACAGTGGTATAGAAATGCTTATATAAGGTGGTGATCAAGCTTTTTAGACATGCATTCTTATTTGTTATGTTAGATTTATAAACCATGGATTTTGACATTAGACAGAATAGATTTTTCCCTTCTTTTGCTTCTGGATTTTTCCACACCACGCCAAAATTATCAGATCTATAGAGAACATCAGTAAGTTTTACTCATATAAAAAGATGCTGCTAAAAGGATGAAGGCTTTCTTTTTAAAATGGGATCCAAATTAACTTCTGCATTTTGCCCTTTCTGTGGTGTATCTTCCTTTCCATGAAATAAAACCCGGGTGCCTTCTTGCTTACAGCTTAGAAGGGTGCTAAAAAGATTGTCTTTTTAACCGGGCCTTCTGCTGCTGGCTTTTAATGACAGATTTTTATTAACATGTTTGTAAATTGCCTAGACAAGCCAGTAGGATTATGTGTTAAAATCAGCTAAAGCTGTGTGAGATAATTAAAATTCACTGCAGGATATTATTTTTAAAAACCTTATAAAATCCACTGTAGGGCAGTATCTTTTTTAAAAGGAAAATCAAAATGGCACAATCTGAAATCTCCAGGACATTTTCAGAGGAACTGGACTGCATAAAGCCAGGATTAAAAAGCAGCAAATACAGGCACCATTTTTTTTAAAGAAAAAGATTCCTGGTTCTGCTATTACTTTAATTTTGACAGTGACAGGAACAATGCTTACTCATATAATACAAAATTATTCAGAAAATTAAGTTACTTCATATTCTGACAGCCGGACATTTTAGTTTAGGAAAATATAGTAATAGGATTGAGTGAAAGCTTTTCATCAGGTAGAGAGAAAAAAATTTCTTCTAATTCAGGATTTAAAAAATGAATTTAAAAAAATCAATTCAGGACAGATCAGAGATAGCATCTATGGAACAAAGAAAATACATACGATTCCTCCCCAAGTTTTAATTATTTTTCTCTCTCGGATGGATTTTAAAACGGTTAATATTCTGTTTCCAAATGGTTTGTTTTACTTGAAGCACTGATCTGGATTAGGAGCATTTTTAAACTGCTATCTATGAAAATATTGCTTTTATTTTCTAAGAATGACTTTACACTAGCTGTAACCCATCTCAATTAATCTGGAACGGGGAAATAAACACATTTAAAACAAAACAAAAAATGTTGGCTCTTCGTATAATGCAGGGGTCTTCAAACTTGGCCCTTTTATGACTCGTGGACTTCAACTCCCACAATTCCTCAGCCAGGCAACGCTGGCTGAGGAATTCTGGGAGTTGAACTCCACAAGTCATAAAAGGGCCAAATTTGAAGACCCCCACCAAGTTTGAAGACCCCTGATATAATGTATCTGTAAAGCAAAAATATCTGGTTTGTGACCTCATTTGTCAACTTCTCAAAAGCCTCTGTCTGGGCTGCTGCCAGAAAAAAAATGCTCTTACAACAATCAGAGAACTTTAAGGATCTCCCTTTCTCTTATGCTTTTTTGATGGCAATGCCTGCTATTATACTTACTCCAAAACATAGAAAGGCACACATACAATATTCTACAGCTCTTTCTCCTATTACAGGCAGTCCTCTACTTACGACCACAACTGAGCCCAAAATTTAGCTCGCTAAGTGAGACATCTGTTAAGTGAGCCTTGCCCCATTTTTACAACCTTTGTCAAGAGTTGTTAAGCGAATCATCACTGCCGTGGTTAAATCAGTCACACGGTTGTTAAGTGAATCCGGCTTCCCCGTTGACTTGGCTGGTCAGAAGTTCGCAAAAGGGGATCACGTGAGCCAGGGATGCCCCCAAACCGTCAGAACTACGAGTCAGCTGCCAAGCATCCTGAATTTTGATCACGCGACCACGGGGATGCTTATGAGGGTAGTTAAAGCTGGGTGGGTCACAAGTCACTTCTTTCAGTGCTGCTGTAACTTCGAATGGCCACTAAGCGAACTGTCACTAAGCGAGGTCTACCTGTAATTCCGCTGACCCTCAGCATCGCTGGACTTTCTAAAGCAGGGGTCTTCAAACGTGGCCCTTTTATGACTTGCGGACTTTGACTTCCAGAATTCCTCAGCCAGCGTTGCTGGCTGAGGAATTCTGGGAGTCGAAGTCCGCAAGTCATAAAAGGGCCACGTTTGAAGACTGCTCTAAAGCAAGAGGTGAATAACCTAGAGCAGGGCTTTTCAACCAGTGGTACGGGTACCACCTGTGATCCATTGGCACCTGGCAGGTGGTATGCGACCATCCTAGAAAAGTGGTAGCTGGGGAGGGGAATGAGCTGAACCAGTGGCAGCACCGCACAAGCCTGAGCGAGAGATGGCTGGAGCTGCAGGGCTGTCAGGGCTCAGCGGAAGCGCCAGGATCAGTGCCGCTTTCCAGCTGATCGGCGCTTCTTCGGGGCTGAGGGCTCAGTGGAAGCGCCAGGATCAGTGCCAGGCTCCAGCTGGAGCTTGGCACTGATCCTGGTGCTTCTGCTGAGCCCTGAAGAAGCTCCAATCAGCTGGAAAGCAGCACTGATCCTGGCGCCTCTGCTGAGCCCAGAAGCAGCGCCGATCAGCTGGAATGTTGCAGCATCTCCAGGGTCTTGTGATTTACATTCAGATGCTTGGCAACTGATTCATATTTATGACGGTCACAGTGTCCCAGGGTCATGTGAAGTGACCAAAACCTGCTGCAACCACCCAGCAGACGGGGGGGGGGAATAAAAACCAAACACCCCCTCACCCCACTGCCAATCCTCAACAGAAATGCTCACAACAATGAAAACCTCGAACAGGAGGAAGAGTGCCGCCAGGTGGGCAGGCAGGTGTCTTGCTCGGCTATGGCTTGGGGGGCACTTTTTTCAGTGCCATTGTAACTTCAAATAGTCACTAAGTGAAATGTTGTAAGTCGAGGACTACCTGTACTTTATCAGTTTTTTCCTTTTGGGGGGGGGTCATCAAGTTGTTGACACCTTGCTCGGGCCAGGCGACTAGTGGTACTCGGATATTGCCATATCCTAAAAGTGGTACAATGGGTGGAAAGGTTGAAAAGCCCTGACCCAGAGCCCCCCCCTCCCATGGTCCTGGCACTACAAACCCCAGCATCCCCAGCCAACATGGTCTGCAGCCAGTGGATTGGCTGCAAACCCAGCGAGCTGCCTCCCAACCTCTCTGGGGGGAGGAGGAAGAGGGAACGCCTTGGGACCGTTATAGCTGGGAAGGGAAAAGCAGGGACGTGGCTGTGGCTTTCTTGGCAAGCTGCTCCGAGCCCCCCAGCATCCTCAGCCCCGGGTTTGGGAGTGGGGGTCTGCAAGGGCCTCAGCTTGCAAGGACCGCCTGGGGAAGGGGGGGGCTGGATTCGTGGCGATCGGAGACCCCCCCCGGCGCTTGGGGCTCCAGCCAAGCGCTTCCCCTCCAGCAAGGCTGCAAGAGGCGAAGTGGCAGGGAGTAACCAAGGCCCCCTTCTGGCTCCGGCCCCTTCCCACGTGGGGACGAGGCCGAGGAGGCTGCCGTGCTGGGGGGCTACCCCAGATCCCCCCCCTCCTCCTCCTCCCGGCGGCTTTCAACGGGGAGGCCTGCTCCGCGCTCGCCCTGCCTTGCCAGAGGCCTCCGGGACTCACCGGCTTCTTCCGCCCGCAAGAGCCGCAAAATCCCGCCTCGGAGGGAAGGGAGCGCCCGCTTCACGCGCCTGGCAGCCGGGGAGGGAGGGGGGTGAGCAAGAGACGACAGACGCCCCAGAGCGGAGGGTGCCGGGGGGGGGAGGGAGGAAAAGAACGCAAGGGTCCTTCGTCACATCCGGTCTGGACCGCTTCGCTGCTGCTTTTGTTTTTCTTTTTTCTTTTTCCCTCTGGCGAGGCGCTCTAGGACCCCGAAGATTCTCGGTGATAGGAACAACCGGCGGTGGGAGAGACTTTCTAGCCGCCGGCTATCGGTATAGTTAAAGAAAGGCCGGATGATGCCTCCGGGCTCGGCTCCGGAGAGGCGGAGGGCTAGAGCGGTCTTTTCCATGCTCCGGAGAAAGTTAACCCTTCCCTTGCCAGTTAGCCGAGGGGCACGTCCTTCCTCTTTCTTTTCGTACGCTTTTTTGTAAGGATGAACAATAATTGGAGTTGTGTTGGGCTGCTGAAATTGGGTATGTCTAATTTAATGAAGAGAAGGATGAGGGAGGACGTGATAGCCATGTTCCAATATCTCTGGAGCTGCCCCAAAGAAGAGGGAGTCAAGCTATTCTCCAAGGCGCCTGAAGGCAGGACAAGAAGCAACGGATGGAAATTAATCAAGGAGAGAAACAACCTAGAACTAAGGAGAAACTTCCTGACAGTTAGAACAATTAACCTGTGGAACGACCTGCCTCCAGAAGTGGTGAATGCTCCAACACTGGAAGTTTCTAAGAAGAGACTGGACAGCCATTTGTCTGAAATGGTATAGGGTTTCCTGCCTGAGCAGGGGGTTGGGCTAGATGACCACCAAGGTCTCTTCCAACTTTATTATTGTTGTTGTTGTTATTATTATAAAATAACATTTGAGGAAAAGCTCGCTCTAAATTCTGAAAAGCAAATTGCTACCACTTCCAGCTCCTGAATTACTCAACGTTTAATTTGTTTCAATCCTTGGAGATGGGACTATAATTCCCATTCTCCCCAGCGCCACTGAAAGAGGACACCGGATTGGAAAAATCACAGTGGTTATCATAAATCTCTGAAGAGGAGGATTCCAACTTTCCAAAGCTTTGCTATCTTTATGCTTCCTCCCCAAGTTGAATTTCAGTCTGATCTCCATTAAAGGCAGTCCTCACCGTCTGACCACAATTGAGCCCAAACGTTATGTTGCTAAGTGAGAAATCTGTTAAGTGAGTCTTGCCCCATTTTACCACTTTTTCTTGCCACATTTGTTAAATTAATCGCTGCAGTGGCTAAATTGGTGACACGGTTGTTAAGTGAATCCGTTTTCCCATGGACTTGGCTTGTCACAAGGTTGTACAAGGTGATCACGTGATCCCGGGACACTGCAACTGTCATAAGTGTGAGTCAGTTGCCAAGCATACAAATATAAATCACCTGACCATGGGGAGGCTGCTTAAGTGTGAAAAACGGTCATAAGTCACTTTTTTCAGTGGTGGTCATTGGTCAATGCTGTTGTAACTTTGAATAGTCACTAAGAGAACTATTGTAAGTTGAGAATTAGCTGTATACTCTACAGCAGGGGTCTCCAACCTTGGCAACTTTAAGACTTGTGGACTTCAACTCCCAGAATTCCTCAGCCAGCAAAGCTATCCTATCCTATCCTATCCTATTCTAGCCTATCCTATCCTATCCTCTTTCTATTCTATTCTATCCCAGTGGTGGCGAACCTATGGCATGGGTGCCACAGGCGGCACTCAGAGCCCTCTCTGTGGGCACGGGCGCCATTGCCCTAGTCCTAGGCCTTCAGCTGAGTTTTATAAAACCTTTTCTCTTTAGGCCTTTGCCACCGTGTGCAAAAAAAAAAAAGGTTCAATCAGTCAATTTCAACTTCTCGCGGGGAAAAAAAAAAGATCTTGCAAAGTTGGAATTGATTGATTGAACTTTTTAGTCCCACCCAGTCTGCTGTTACCACCACAGCCACGCCCCAATTGGTCACACCCACCCGGCACCCGATGATGCATAATTGGGTTTTGGGTTACAGTTTGTGCACTCAGTCTCTAAAAGGTTCACCATCACTGTTCTGTCCTGTCCTATCCTGTCGTATCCTATCCTATCCTATCTTATCCTATCCTATCCTATCCTATCCTATTCTATTCTTATCCTATCCTATCCTTATTCTATCCTATCCTATCCTATTCTTCCTTATGCTTTCCTCCCATTCCCAGCCCATGAATGAGGCAAGTCTAAATTGTTCTTGTTTATATTCTCGCCTTTATTCTGACATACAAGTAATCCTCGACTTACATTTAGTGACCATTCGAAATTCCTGCAGCTCTGAAAAATGTTACTTACCTCCGGTTTTCACACTTAACCATTGCAGCCTCCCCCATGATCATGTGATCAAAATTCAAACATTTGGCAACTGGCATGTATTTATGACGGTTTCAGTGTCCAGGGGGAGGGGTTTGTATCCCTTTTTGCAACCTTCTGACCAGCAAAATCAATGGGGAAGCCAGATTCACTTAACAACCGCGTTACTCACTTAACAACTGCAGATTCACTTTAACAACTGTGGCAAGGAAGGTCGTAAAACTGGGCAAAATTCACTTAGCCGATGTCTTGCTTGGCAACAGAAAATTCGGGCTGAGTTGTGGACTACCTTGTAATCCGATGGTAACCCCAGGATGTGTTAAATCCATTTGGGAGATCTTTAATAAACCAAAAAAGAAACAAAGGCCAAAGCAAATGTTGCTTGAACCCAGAATGTTACACAATTGTTGAAGGAAAAGTCTTCATCAGAGTTCAGTCCAAGCCGGGCATAAACAAAATGGAGACTGCTTTAGAAAAAAGTTTGCAATTTATTGAAGAGGAGAGCCAGACAAAAAGAGGGCTCTGGCAGAAAAGAGAGAAGGCACATGTAAGGAGTGGGTTTTTATACCCTCTGGGGCCTTTTGTTTGGAGTTGTTCCTGTGGCATGAACTTTGACCTGAGTCTGAGTGTGCCTTTCTGGTATTCTGATGGTGGTGGGTTAATCCTATTATGTCCCAAGGGTCATATCCTGCTTCCCTGGGGTTGTGGCTGATGACTTTTAGATTTTTGGTGCGAGGGGTTATTGATTCTAGGGATCTTTCTTCCTAGTTCCAGCTTCCTGACTCCAATCTTTCTGACAAGGTTATCATATCTGCATTTTTTGCAGACTTGGTTTCTGTTTGGGCAGAGAGACTTGGGGGTGGGGTTGGTTTCTGCTTTTAAAATACTTTAGGGCAGTGGTGGCGAACCTATGGCACGCATGCCAGAGGCGGCACTCAACCCTCTCTGTGGGCACGCGCACTATGCCCCGGAGATGGCAACCGTCCCTCTTCAACCAGCCGCCCACTAACTTTCCAAGGTCCCACTTGGCCGGATGCATCCCAGCATGGCTGGTTTCCCTCCCCCCATCCCATCCCTCCTGGCCTTGCATGGTTTCCCTCCCCCCATCCCATCCCTCCTGGCCTTGCATGCTCTCCTTTTCCTGGGCACGACCCACTGCATTGCCTTCTCAGCTGTCGGCCATCCATCCAGCTGAGAGGCAGCTTCTCTGAACTGCTGGGCTGTGGAGCCACAGAGTATGCTGGTTGAGGGGCCAGCAGGCTGTGGCTGCTAACGGACACTGTCGGCCCCCATGTGCTCGCTGGCCTCTGTGTGCAGGGGCCGACGGTGTCAGGCAGCAGCTGCCCTGGCCTCACCGTGCCCTGCAACAATGGCATTCCCACCCTACCTCACCTCACCCTACAGGATGAGCCTCCTGCCCACCGTCCCACCTGCCACAGACCCCCTGGATCTCCCCCAACCCTGCCCGGCCTCCACAGGTGTCCTTCCCCATGAGCAACATTGAGGTGGCCACACCCACCCAGTCTGCCAGGACCACAGCCACGCCCACCCATTGGGCCACGCCCACCTTGGCCCCCCCCATGATAAATAAGTGGGTTTGGGGTTGCAGTTTGGGCACTCGGTCTCTAAAAGGTTCGCCATCGCTGCTTTAGGGAAATATATTCTGCCTTTTAAATATTTCCAAAAATATTTCTTTCTCGGGGGGGGGAGCTGGGGGGGGCTGACTTCCCACACTCCAAAGCCCATATTGCAGACATAACAATGCAATGACATTAGTTGGAAAGCAGGAAAAACACCATGTGGGGGTTTTGCTGCCCGCAAACTACAGTGTCTCTTCCAGATGTTAACTGCAGCAGCCTTTTCGGGGAGGGGGGTGTTTCCTCCCCTTTTATTTCTTCTTCTGGAAATTTGCAATAAGGGTTAAATCCTGCAAGTCAGCTGCTTGGAGAAGCTGTTTAAAAAAAAAAAAGGAACGAGGGTCTACTGTGAAGTCACTTCCTGTGCCTTCTTTTCTTGGGGGGGGGGGTGTGGAGGAAAATCGGGGAATTTAAGGGGGGGGGCTGAAGATTTACTGGGAGGAGAACAGAGGCTTGCCAGAGAAGTGCACTGACATTGCTGTGCAAAACTAAAATCTGCAGTCAACCATAAGCAGCAGCCCCGTCCAGGTCTGTTTTTTTTTTCTAAAAGAGTTGGGCTTTTAGACTGCAAGGGGGAACACTTTCCAGATATGAGTTAAAGCAGATTCAGCCACGAAATGCTTTTTGTCTTGGCTCTATCTATGTCTGGGAAAGGTTGAGATGAGACAGGGCGGGTCTGACGGGAGCGAGAGAGCTGGGCTGCAAAAGAAAAAAAAAGAAAAAGTTCCAGCCTGCAGATCAGCAAAGCCATCCAGAGATTATTCTTTGACTGTCCGCTCCTGGTCAGCCTGGAGGTTTGACATCCTAAATCTGGGAGCTGAGAGACCTAGAAATAAATCTGCTCAGCTTTTCCATTTCTAAGAGGCTGTCAGTCTCCAGGAGGAGGAGATGGGTTCAGTGGCTGTAGAGCTGGAGAGGTGCTGTAGGCATTGTAGTGCCAGGTGAGTGCAGAGTTTTTCAAGATGGGTGGACTTCAACTCCCAGAATTCCCCAACTAGCATGGAGAGTAGAGGTCCGCATGCAAACAGGCTGGAGAGCTCTGGAAATTGAAGTCCGCCCATCTTAAGGTTGCCAGGGTTGGGAAATACTGGTTTTAGTGGCACCCTGCTTTGTACATCCAGCATTGCATTAGGTGTTAAATGCGTTGATTAACCACGGTTAATTAAGGTTAATTAACCGTAAATACATATAGTCCAGGCCATGGTTTTCCCAGTTGCAACGTATGGCTGTGAAAGCTGGACCATAAGAAAGGCTGAGCGCAAAAGAATTGAGGCCTTTGAACTATGGTGCTGGAGAAGACTCCTGCGAGTCCCCTGGACTGCAAGGCGTTCAAACCGGTCAGTCCTAGAGGAGATCAACCCCCACTGCTCTTTAGAAGGCCAGATCCTGAAGTTGAAACTCAAATACTTTGGCCACCTAATGAGAAGGAAGGACTCACTGGAGAAGAGCCTAATGCTGGGAAAGATTGAGGGCAATAGAAGAAGGGGACGACAGAGAATGAGATGGCTGGATGGAGTCACTTAAGCAGTAGGTGTAAACTTAAATGGACTCCAGAAGATGGTAGAGGACAGGAAGACCTGGAGGAACATTGTCCATGGGGTCGCGATGGGTGGGACACGACTTCGCAATTAACAACAACAAACCGTAAATAATTAAGGCTCTTTCTAATACTCTGCCTTCTATAGCTGGCTTATGCCATGCGGTAGGGCAGGCCATAATGGTTTACTAATTAACTTTTACATTTAAGGTTTGGATAGACATGTTTTAAAAATCATAAATAAAAACATGTTGATTAAGCTTTGGCAACTAAGCCCCTTGGTTTGTCAACCAGAGTTTGTGGCTTAAAGTACTGTGTGAATCTGGACAGTTTTGCACTCGTGTCAGAAGCACCGAAGCGTTTCTGGGTTGAAAGGATTAGCTGGTGACCTCACCATCCTTTGGGGATGTCTAGTTGGGGGCGCCTTTGATGTCCCCAGCAAGAGCTGGACGAGAGCTCAACCCCCACCCTATGGCAGTTTAATGTGAGCTTGCTAAACTCCTGCCTAGCATTCCAACCGCTTGAGCCACTGTGCCCCTATCTGGACAGTTATAGTTTATCCAGTAAGCCAGTGGTTCTCAACCTTTTTAATGCTGCGACCCCCAACCGGTCGTAAGTCGAGGACTACTCAACCGGTCGTAAGTCGAGGACTACTCAACTGGTGCAGCACCGTTTGCAGAATGGGACTTTTGGCGGGCTCAGCAGGGCAGAGACAGCCTGGACAATTCCTATTGGCTTTTGAAAGCCAATAGAATTAGACTCTATTCAAGAGAGTCTATTCTATTGGCTTTCAAAAGCCAATAGAATAAAAGGGAGTAGCACAGCTAAGGAAAAGGGGGAAAAAAATGGCGGACTGCGTTGTTTGGCAACCCCCGTGAAATGGTCGTTCGGTGGGGTCCCGACCCACAGGTTGAGAACCACTGCAGTAAAACATATTTAAGCAAACTGGTTTAGCACAAAGGTGGATAAGTTTTATTATCCAGTAAACCATAGTTAAACAAACTGGTTTAGCACAAAAGTCAGTAACTTTTATTGTCCAGTAAACCATAGTTAAGCAAACTGGTTTATCCCAAAGGTAGGTAACTTTTATTATCCAGTAAACCATAGTTAAGCAAACTGGTTTAGCACAAAGGTGGGTAGTTTTATTATCCAGTAAACCATAGTTAAACAAACTGGTTTAGCACAAAAGTCAGTAACTTTTATTATAGTTAAGCAAACTGGTTTAACACAAAAGTTAATAACTTTTATTATCCAGTAAACCATAGTTAAGTAAACTGGTTTAGTACAAAAGTTAGTAAGCTTTATTATCCAGTAAACCATAGTTAAGCAAACTGGTTTAGCACAAAGCTGGGTAATTTTTATTCCTCTGGTTGTTGTTGAATTACAACTCCCAGAATTCCTAGGAAATGTGGCTAGAATTGTGCGGGGTGCTAGGAGGGGTTATTCAGCAGTATCTGGAGCAGTGTCTCTCAACCACAGCAACTTTAAGATGTGTGGACTTCAACTGCCAGGATTCCCCAACCAGACACCGACATATCTTAAAGTTGTCAAGGTATTGAGAAATGCTGATCTGGAGGAATTCAGATGACCCTTAATCCTGCCAGTCAGCATGCTGGCTGAGGAATTCTGGGAGTTGAAGTCTGCATATCTTAAAGTTGCTAAGGTTGAGAAACACAGGCCTAGTGCAGGAGTAGCCAACCTTGGCTCTTTTATGACTCGTGGACTTCAACTCCTAGAATTCCTGAGCCAGCCTGGCTCAGCTTGGAAACCTCTCCCTTTCCACTCAGCATGGCTGGCTCAGGAATTCTGGGAGTTGAAGTCCACAAGTCATAAAAGAGCCAAGGTTGCCTATCCCTGGCCTAGTGGCTGAGAATAGTCGCCTAGCATCTACTCTTGTCTTGAATGACTAATTGGGCCTTCTCTCTTCCCATCCTGCCACAGGAGGAGTGTGGGGGAGAAAAGAAGAAAAAGTAGATGGAAGCACATGGGGTCTCTCTGGAAGTTAAAACCAAAGAGACAGAAGCGCCCCCAAGGATTCCAGATGACTCAGAAAGACAGCAGGAAAAGAAAATGGCTGCGGCCGAAAAACAGAGGAATGTATCCATCACCAGTGAAGAGGCTGGCCAGGTGATCCCAGCCGAGCTGCAAATAGCAAGGGAGAAGAGACAGAATGAATGCCACGCATGCGGGAAAAGTTTTTGTTCCACATCCCGCCTCAAAGTCCACCAGAGGATCCACACGGAGAGACGGCCCTATCAGTGCCAGGAGTGCGGCAAGGGCTTCCGGCAGAGCGGCCACCTGTCCCAGCATCGAAGGATGCACACGGGAGAGAGGCGCTACAAATGTTTGGAGTGTGGGAAAAGTTTTAGCCAGAGCACCTATTTTATCTTGCACAGGATCACCCACACGGGAGAAAAACCGTTCACTTGTCCAGAGTGCGGAAAGAGTTTCAGCCACAGCCGGAAGCTGACTATACACCGCGCCGTCCACACGGGCAAGAGGCCGTACAAGTGTTTGGAGTGTGGGCAGAGTTTCAGCCAAAGCACCCACCTGACTTCCCACCGGAGGATCCACACCGGAGAGAAGCCGTATCGGTGCACCGACTGTGGGAAGTGCTTCAACCAGAGCACTCACTTGTCCCTGCACCGGCGGATCCACACGGGAGAAAAACCCTACCGCTGTCTCGAATGCGGGAAGTGTTTCAGCCAGAGCCCGCACTTGACTTTACACCGGAGAATCCACACCAAGGAGAAGATCTATAAGTGCTCCGAGTGTGGGAAGGGCTTCCGTCGGAGCGATCACCTCATCTCCCATCAGAGGATCCACACCGGGGAGAAACCGTATCGCTGCTCCGAGTGCGGGAAGAGTTTCAGCCGAAAGTCGATCCTGCATAAACATCAGAGAATCCACAAAGATGGAGGATCGTCCGTCTGAATTTTTCTCAATGCTAAACTTGATGGGCAGAACTTTTGAGGGTTTTGAATATTGCTTGACTGCTTGTGGATCTAGTGCCTAGTTAGCCTTTAGACCAGGGGTCTCCAAACTTGGCAATTTTAAGACTTAATAACAATAATAACAAAGTTGGAAGAGACCTTGGAGGTCATCTAGTCCAACCCCCTGCTCAGGCAGGAAATTCTATACCAGTGGTTCTCAACCTTTCTAATGCTGTGACCCCATAATACAGTTCCCCATGTTGTGGTGACCCCCAAGTGGGTGTGGCCACCAATAAGAGGGAGTAGGACAGCTAGGGAAAAGGGAAAAAAATGGCGGACAGGGTGGTTTGGCAACCCCCGTGAAATGGTCATTCAACCCCAAATGGGGTCCCGACCCACAGGTTGAGAACCACTGCTCTATACCATTTCGGATAAATGGCTGTCCAGTCTCTTCTTAAAAACTTCCAGTGTTGGAGCATTCACCGCTTCTGGAGGCAGGTTATTCCACTGGTTAATTGTTCTGTCAGGAAGTTTCTCCTTAATTCTAGGTTACTTCTCTCCTTGATTAGTTTCCATCCGTTGCTTCTTGTCCTGCCTTCAGGAGCCTTGGAGAATAGCTTGACTCCCTCTTCTTTGTGGCAGCCCCTGAGATACTGGAACACTGCTATCATGTCCCCCCTCGTCCTTCTCTTCGTTAAGCTAGACATACCCAATTCCAGCAACTGTTCCTTGTATTTTTAGTCTCCAGTCCCCTAATCATCTTTGTTGCTCATCTCTGTGCTCTTTCTAGAGTCTCAGCATCTTTTTTACATCGTGGTGACCACTTGCAGTATTCCAAGTGTGGCCTTACCAAGGCATTGTAAAGTGGTATTAACACTTCACGTGATCTTGATTCTATCCCTCTGTTAACACAGCCCAGCACTGTGTTGGCTTTTTTGGGCAGCTGCAGCACACTGCTGGCTCATATCTAAGTGATTCTCCACTAGGACTCCGAGATCCCTCTCACAGTTGCTACTATTGAGCAAGGTACCTGTACATTTGGATATTTTTTCCCCTAAATGTAGAACTTTAATTTTTTCACCTTGTAGACTTTTCACTTGTAGACTTCAATTCCCAGAATTCCTCAGCCAGCTATGGGAATTCTGGGAACTGAAGTCCACAAGTCTTAAAAGTTGCCAGATTTGGAGACTCTTGCTTTTTAGAGAGTAGACTAAACTTAGGAATGTTTGGAGAATGTTACTTCATAACAAGCATGCTAGAAGTATAATGAAGTTGGATAAATTGCTGCAAAATATGGGTTAAATGTGGAAATAAGGTGAGGAACGGAAATTGTAATAAAGCAGTTTGGAAAAATACCAATGTTTCCTCCTTGGTTACCAACTGGCGGGGATCATCTCCAGCAATTTATCTGTACCAGATGCTTTTTGAATTTGTCAACTATAAGATGTGTGGACTTCAAGTCTCAGAATTCCCAGGCAGGCAAGGAAATTTTGGGAGCTGACGTCCAAACATCTTAAAAGTTGCCAAGTTATTTTATACCCATAGCACCGTGTGGACTGTCTAGGAAGCAAAGAAAGCTGGAATGAATATAGAAAAGAACTATGTATTGCGAGAAAGGAAATTTTAAAAATGGAACATAGGAAATGAAAAGCACATTTGGCAGTATATCCCATTTTAATATCCATTTAGAGGCTGACGCTGAAAATAGTGGAGCACTCTGGAACTAAACTGTTAGTCAAGGGTCAATGCCAGTGGGTCGGAAATTTTTAAGATTTTTCGGCTGAAGTTTTCATTTTAATTGCAGTTGGGCCATGCCCCAATTTTGGGTAGGGGGAGCATTTTATAGATGCACTTTTAACTTGTTTCTGATTTTGCAAGCATGCGCCGTTGTTAGAGAAGCAGTCCCTGTAGATTTTATCCGCTAGACCAGGGGTAGGCCACCTTGGCCCTTTTATGACTCGTGGACTTCAACTCCCAGAATTCCTGAGCCAGCCATGCTGAGGGGAAAGGGAGAGGTTTCCAAGCTGAGCCATGGGTGCCTCAGGAATTCTGAGAGTTGAAGTTCACCAGTCATAAAAGAGCCCAGGTGGCCTACCTTTGTACTAGACCAGTGTTTCTCAACCTTGACAATTTTAAGGCATGTGGACTTCAACTCCCAGAATTCCTGAGCCAGCCATACTGAGGGGAAAGGGAGAGGTTTCCAAGCTAAGCCATGGGTGCCTCAGGAATTCTGAGAGTTGAAGTCCACCAGTCATAAAAGAGCCCAGGTGGCCTACCTTTGTACTAGACCAGTGTTTCTCAACCTTGACAATTTTAAGGCATGTGGACTTCAACTCCCAGAATTCCTGAGCCAGCCATACTGAGGGAAAGGGAGAGGTTTCCAAGCTGAGCCATGGGTGGCTCAGGAATTCTGGGAGTTGAAGTCCACCAGTCATAAAAGAGCCCAGGTGGCCTACCTTTGTACTAGACCAGTGTTTCTCAACCTTGACAATTTTAAGGCATGTGGACTTCAACTCCCAGAATTCCTGAGCCAGCCATACTGAGGGAAAGGGAGAGGTTTCCAAGCTGAGCCATGGGTGCCTCAGGAATTCTGAGAGTTGAAGTCCACCAGTCATAAAAGAGCCCAGGTGGCCTACCTTTGTACTAGACCAGTGTTTCTCAACCTTGACAATTTTAAGGCATGTGAACTTCAACTCCCAGAATTCCTGAGCCAGCCATACTGAGGGAAAGGGAGAGGTTTCCAAGCTGAGCCATGGGTGCCTCAGGAATTCTGAGAGTTGAAGTCCACCAGTCATAAAAGAGCCCAGGTGGCCTACCTTTGTACTAGACCAGTGTTTCTCAACCTTGACAATTTTAAGGCATGTGGACTTCAACTCCCAGAATTCCACAGCCAGCCATACTGAGGGAAAGGGAGAGGTTTCCAAGCTGAGCCATGGGTGGCTCAGGAATTCTGGGAGTTGAAGTCCACCAGTCATAAAAGAGCCCAGGTGGCCTACCTTTGTACTAGACCAGTGTTTCTCAACCTTGACAATTTTAAGGCATGTGGACTTCAACTCCCAGAATTCCACAGCCAGCATTGCTGGCTGTGGAATTCTGGGAGTTGAAGTCCACATGCCTTAAAATTGTCAAGGTTGAGAAACACTGTACTAGACGTTGCCAACTATAAAAGACGGGGCTCATCTCTATTTCAAGGCCATTGAGTCAGCGCTAAAGATATTTCTGCGCTCATGTGGAGCACCGTTACCTTCCCACTGAAGTGGTACCTATTGATCTATTCACATTTGCAGGCTTTCGGATTGTTAGGTTGGCAGGAGCAGGGGCAAGGACGGCAGCTCATCCTGTCATGTGGCACTTAGGTCTTGGACCCAAGCTGCCAGCTTTCCAGCTGACAAGCCCAGCGTCTTAACTGCTGAGCCACTGCACTGGCCCTTGTTAGGGAAAACTCCAGAGAAAATTGTGGACAGCTAAAAAACCCAAATGGATCATCAAACAAATCAAGCCAGAGTTTTCATTAGACATGCAAATGAAAGCCCATTTGGCACAGTGGTAAAGGCACTAGGCTAGGAACTAGGAGACTGTGAATTATAGTCCCACCTTAGGTATGGAAGTTGGCTGGATGACTTTGGGCCAATCACCAGGAGACTGTGGGTTCTAGACCCGCCTTAGGCATGGAAGCTGGCTGGATAATTTTGGGCCAATCAGCAGGAGATTGTGAGTTCTAGTCCCGCCCCTAGCTGGATGACATTTGGCCAGTCCTCTCTCTTCAGTCCAAACCACCTCACAGATTGTTGTGGGAAAAACAGGAGGAGGGAGGAGTATTGTATATACCAGGGGTAGGCAACCTTGGCTCTTTTATGACTCGTGGACTTCAACTCCCAGAATTCCTCAGCCAGCCACACTGAGGGGAAAGGGAGAGGTTTCCAAGCTGAGCCAGGCTGACTCAGGAATTCTGGGAGTTGAAGTCCACGAGTCATAAAAGAGCCAAGGTGGCCTACCCCTGCTATATACGCTGCCTTGAGTTATTTATAAATAACAATAAAAGCAGGATATTAATAAACAAAATAAAGTGTCTTTTCCAGAGTAGCATGCACATAAATAACAAACCTTTAGGAGGATTTATATTCAATCTTTTAAAATTTCTGAGATGTGCATGTGTGAACGTGTACGCTTGAGGGCATGGGCACTGCATATTGACGGTGTTGCAAAGGTTACAAACAATACATTTAAAGATTGGATTTAGGGCTGGACTACAGACGGAAGGCGAACAAGTCTCAAATGGAACGATCCCGTGTGTCCTGAAAAAATAGGATAAAAAGAAGGAAACCTGGATGGAGAGGAAGACACCAGGGCCAAGATGGATGACAAGGCAGAAGAATGTTGACACACGTTAAGAGATCATTTTTATTATCTTTATTAATGCTCAAAAGAAACAAAGAAAAACCAAGAGCCCAAGTGAGGCGCGAAACAAAGCATATTCACATTCAAAGCAAAGCCAGAAAGCTGGGGAGGAGAGAACCCCAAAAAACAAGAGCGTTACAAACATTTTGAAAGGGGGAAGGGAGGGATTAAAAAACAGTCTATTTGGATACTGGAGCAATATTCCAGAGCAGGAGACAAGATCAAAGAGGCCTCCCCATTTCTAACAATGTACAATTCACACAAGTAGGTCTTGCTTATAGTCAGAAAGGTGGCTTTTACATAAAACCCCACGCCGTGTTTTTCAATCTTGCGGACTGGAAGGTGGGTGGACTCCCAACTACCAGAATTCCCTGTGGCTAGCTGAGGAATTCTGGGAGTTGAAGTCCACCTACCTTCCAGTTGCCAAGGTTGAGAAGCACTACCCCAGTGTTTCCCAAACTTGACAATTTTAAGGCATGTGGACTTCAACTCCCAGAATTCCACAGCCAGCGTTGCTGGCTGTGGAATTCTGGGAGTTGAAGTCCTCATGCCTTAAAATTATCAAGTTTGGGAAACACTGCACTACCCTAATAGGAGAACGCAAATGGTGATTGGTGGAGCGCCAGTCCCCCAGGATTTAAATTTTCAGTGTAAATTTCAGAATTTCTGAAAGCGCAGTAAAGTCCTTTCAGGGCAGGGGCAGGCAACCTTGGCTCTTTCATGACTCGTGGACTTCAACTCCCAGAATTCCTCAGCCAGCATGGCTCAGCTTGGAAACCTCTCCCTTTCCCCTCAGCATGGCTGGCTCAGGAATTCTGGGAGTTGAAGTTCACGAGTCATGAAAGAGCCAAGATGGCCTACACCTGCTCTAGGCTATATAAATAATACTTAGAATAGCCTTTAGACCAGGGGTAGGCAACCTTGGCTCTTTTATGACAAGTAGACTTCAACTCCCAGAATTCCTCAGCCAGCATGGCTCAGCTTGGAAACCTCTCCCTTTCCCCTCAGCATGGCTGGCTCAGGAATTCTGGGAGTTGAAGTCCACGAGTCCTAAAAGAGCCACGGTTGCCTACCCCCGTTTTAGAGTACCCAAACTAACGGGAAAAGCCCGTGAGGAAGCCATTGCTTGTACCTGTATTAGACTTTGTAAAAAAAAAAAAAAACAAGCAGAGAAAAAAAATAATTTTCTACAGCATCAGATTATAGGAGCCTATACAAGTGTCACGTATTTGACATCGAGGGACCAACAATCTTTCCAGATTCCCCAGCTCCAAAGAGTGCTCACAAGTTAATTATTAAAAGAAATGATCCCCCATCTCACAAAACATCAAGTAATCTTCCATTGGCCGTCGAAAACCTTATGTGATGTCTCGCAAAATATGGACGTCTCATGAGATGTTTAACAGCCTTGCAAAACAGCAGCTTTTTGCAAACACTTAAAAAAATAATAACTTAATCATGGTTATTTTCAGGTGTACTGACAGAAGAGGACATTTGAGGCTCAGGGTTGTAATGAGGGGGTCCTTGGTGCTCTCTCTTGCAGACCTTTCATTGCCCTAAAAGGCAACATCATCAGTGCTAGAAGAGGTAAACCCCGCTCTCTTCCAGCACAGATGATGTTACCTTTCAGGGAATGAAACATCTGCAAGAAACCAATCAAATTCAGAGAGGACCTCACATTTTCAGATGCACTTTGTGGTGGAAAGCAACCACTGATTTAGCCTCTAAAAGAGTCTCAGTGGCACAGTGGTTAGAGAGCTATAAAGTAAAACTAACTCTGCACACAGTTGAGTTCGATCCTGATCGGCTCAAGGTTGACTCAGCCTTCCATCCTTCCAAGGTCGTTAAAATGAGGACCCAGATTGTTGGGAGGCAATAGGCTGACTCTATAAACTGCTCAGAGAGGGCTGTAAAGCACTGTGAAGCGGCATATAAGTCTAAGTGCTATCGCTATCACTATATTAACCCAAAGCCTGGATACTCCTGGTTGTTTTTAACTCCAAATTCTGTTCACATTCACCCTAACTCTAAGGGTGATAGGAAACCCTAAGCCACAGTCCGTACAAACCAAGGTTGGGGATGGATAGCTTATACATGGTTTAACTTGCAAGTTAAACAATTTTGCAAGAGGCAAGTCCCGTGACAGAATCACACATCACGTTTGCACCAACACTTTGAGCAAAAAATGCAAAAGGATGGCCTGTGTGGTGAACTTCTCGGAAGGAAATAAGCATGAATTGGCTGGCTGAGGAATTCTGGGAGTTGAAGTCCACAAGTCTTAAAGCTGCCAAGTTTGGTGATTCCTGGTCTAAAGGAAGCTCTGTCCTAAGGATGTCAACGGTTTTTATTTTTTTTTCATGATTTTACTTCGCAAGGAATCCCAGCGGCCTTCGCGAGACAAAATTTGTGCAGAATTTTGCCTCGTGTGAGGAAAAATTCTGTCACAGAGACATTCCCCTCCCTTCTACAGAACCTCAGGACGCTTAAACTGGTTTATAACTGGATTCAACTGGGTGTGGCCAACGCAAAGCTGATGTCTTATAACCCTCTTTTTTTTTGCAGAATAAGTTGGCAATTATCCAAGCTTTATCTTTTACCACTTGAGAGGAAAAAATATGGATTCCCCCACTTAAGAAATAGTTTACTGTTTCTGTCTAGAACAGGGGTAGGCCACCTTGGCTCTTTGATGACTCGTGGACTTCAACTCCCAGAATTCCTGAGCCAGCCATGGCTCAGCTTGGAAACCTCCCTTTCCCCTCAGCATGGCTGGCTCAGGAATTCTGGGAGTTGAAGTCTACAAGTCATAAGAGAGCCCAGGTTGCCTACTCCTGGTCTAGAATCTACCGTGTTTCCTGAAAGTAAGACCCGGTCTTACTTTCTTTTGGGCTGTGAAGTAAGCACTAGGATCTACTTTCGGGGATGGCTTACTTTTTGCTGGTACCAGTAGGCCGCAAGCCCGCGGGTGGGGCAGGGCCTGTGCATAGGGTGAAGCAACGCAGCAGCGAAACGGGGTATGGTACCGGTGCAGGTGGGGCGTGCATGCCCTTCCAGTGCCAGGCCAGCCCCTGCAGCCCCGAGGCGGCCATGCTGGGTGGCAACCAGGCCGACCAAAGCGGCAGGTGGAGCGCCGGAGGCTCAGGGAGGGTGGTGAAACGGGCGGGCGTCCTGCCGTCAGCACCCATGCCGGCTGCCCCTTCCTTCTCCGTGGATCTGGAGAGCTGGCCCCCCACCGCCCAAATGCCCTTGGTTCCCCCAGGAATTGCATTAAGGAAAGTAATGCAGCCCCATTTCTCCTTCACGATCCTCCGCTACCGCGTGCAGGAAAACAAAAGAAGCTTGTGGGGGGCCCAAGAAGTTGAAATTAATTGATTGGCCTTTCCCCCCCCACACACACACACTTCTTTTTGTTTTCCTGCACACGGCAGCGGAGGATGGTGAAGGAGAGACGGGATGGGGCTGAAAGACTTCCCACGCCGTTGCCATTGTTTGGGGCAGGATGCCGCGAGCAATAGCAACGGCGTGGGAGGCCTGGCTGTGGTGGTCCTACCGGTAAGAGGGTGTGGAGCGCGTGGGGCAGCTTCACCCCTCCTACGCCGGCCACAAACCAAACTAGGGCTTACTTTCAGGGGGGGGACTTATATTAGGCCCACCCGTAAAAATCAAGCTGGGGCTTACTTACCTACCTACTTACTTACATACCTACCTGGAGTGAACTTGTAGTCTGCAAAGAGAGAGGGCCGATTCCTGGACCCCTAACTTATAATGAAGATAAAATCCAGAATTCTATACTTCTTCCCAAACCTCACACTCCTCAGATGTGTTGAAACTACAATTCCCATAATTCAAAGTCAGCAAGGAATGAGGCTAGGGCAGTGATGGCGAACCTATGGCACACGCGTGCCAGAGGCAGCACTCAGAGACCTCTCTGTGGGCACGCCTGCCGCCACCAGCATCTCGCGCAGGTCCATTAGGCCGCTGCTGGCGCCCGGAGCAACAGCCTCGTGCAGCACAAAGGAGACGAAGCAGCCAGCTAGCAAGCTGGAGTAGAGGTGGTAGAGCACGCCCCCATGCGCTCGCTGGCCTCTATGTGCGGGGGGCCAATGGTGTCAGACAGCAGCCGCCCCTGCCTCGCCTTGCCCTGCAGCAATGGTATCCTTGCCCTATCCCCTGCCTCACTCTGCAGGAAAAGCGTCCTGCCCACTGCCCCACCCACCAGAGATCCCCTGGATCTGCCCCAATCCTGCCCAGCCCGCACAGGCGTCCCCCCCCCACGAGCAACATCAAGGTGGCCATGCCCACCCAGTCTGCCATGACCACCGCTGCCACACCCACCCAGTGGGCCATGCCCCCCCCTGCTGCCCCCCAAGTGCACCACAATGCTGATGCAGCCCTGGCACTTTGCAATAAATAAGTGGGCTTTGTGTGGCGGTTTGGGCACTCGGTCTCTAAAAGGTTCGCCATCACTGGGCTAGGGAAGGCTAAAGGCTGGGTTTAGATTGGAAGTGCAAAGTTAATGGATGATTTGTGTTACTGTAGGATGGTGGGGTTTTTTTTTTTTTTAACTTTGGCAACTTTAAGACGAGTGGACTTCCAAGCCCCAGAATTCCTCAGCCAACCTGGCTGGCTTAGGAATTCTGGGGCTTCAAGTCCACCACCTTAAAGTTCCTACACGCTGCTGTAGGAATAAACGTGAAGAAAAATACTGCCTAAATAGGTTTGTTTATGGAACAGGTTCACTGCAAGCAGTACAAGAGATAGCCTTGTACTTGCCCCCTGAGCTACTAGCTTTCCACTTTCAGGGAGTTAAGTGCAAAACTGTTAAAATTTCGTTTTTGCCTCTCTGGCAACAGAGTTTTTTTTTTGTTTGTTTTTTTTTTTTTTAGGATTGTACCACACCTTCTTGATGTACCTGGAACGCCTTTCTTGAAAAAGATTTGTCTTCAGGCCTGTGTTTTCCTACAATCCCTCTTTATGGAGTGCCCGTCTGGAAAGCTGCCTCTGGTTCCAGCCATCTTGGAACTGGATGTTTCCCACGATAACTGGGATGTCCTACCAAATCACCTTCACTTCATCCAAAGGGAGAAAGTTCAAACTTCTATCTAGCCATCAAATAAATAATAAAAACCTAGTCGGCTGAGCTTGTTACCGAAAGCAAATGTGAAATGAGACAGGAATCGAATTCATTGCTCAAGGTCCCCTATTAATGTCCCCTCCTGTTTCTTTCCCGCTGTGCTGCTATTTTCCAATGCAAGGCAAAAAGGGCTCAGCACTTAGGCAGGCTGGCTCAAGCCGGAATCAAAGGCCAGCTCAGTTCCAAGTGTCTCACGTGCATCCAGTGGGACTTCATGAGATAAACGTTCGTTGCAGCTCAAATCCGTCAAAAAGCTGAGCAAAATTCATTTAAAACTCTTTGTGAAACCGACGACAGGCAACGAGGGGGCACTGGACCAAAGAAGAGCCTCAAAGACGCGTCCCGTGGTTCCTCTACTACAGACCCAACTCTCCAGTTGATCAGGAACTGCATTCTAGGCACTGGGTAATGAAGGACGATACGAAAAATTCAGGCATTCTCTTTCGTTTTCGTATCCACCCGATTCTGTGGTCCTCTCTGCATTTCCAGTTCCCCTCCCAAGGGTCTGAAACGGGCCTGGTTTGGCAACAGGAACCAAAACCGCGATGGCCATCCCATCTGGGGGGAAGGCATTCAGTTGCCCACAGTCACCTTTGGTCAGCGAAACCCGTCCTCTGTCGGCCGCAGGAACAGTCCCCTTTGCAGGATCCGCTCCGTCAAAAGAAGAAGCCGACGATGACCGGCGAAAAAAAAAGCAGAACCCGAGGCCCAGACGGCCTCGTCCGTTCACATCTTGGCGTCGCCGCTCTGTCCCGCTCCTTCGGCCGTTTCCCGATCGGCCTCTTCCGATGCCCGCGGGAGGCCCGGCGTCAGGTTCAGATTCACGCACTCGGGACACTTCTCCGGGCTCTCGGCGGCCGAGGAGAAAATCTTCCCGCAGTCGGCGCAGATGAAGGAGTTCAGCCCCAAGTGGCCGCGCTGATGCCGGAGGAGGGCGGCCTTGGCTTTGAAGCAGCTGCCGCACTCCGAGCAGACATAGGGCTTCTCGCCGGTGTGGGTCCGCTCGTGGGCGATGAGCTGCGAGCTTTCCCGGAAGCCCTTGCCGCAGCCCAGGCACATGTAGGGCCGCTCGCCGGTGTGGGAGCGCTCGTGCGCCACCAGGCTGGAGCGCTGGATGAAGGCCTTCCCGCACTGGGGGCAGACGTAGGGCTTCTCGCCGGTGTGCGTCCGCTCGTGCTTGCTGAGGCTGGAGCGGACGCTGAAGCTCTTGGCGCAGTAGAGGCACTGGTAGGGCTTCTCGCCGGTGTGGGTCCGCTCGTGGGCGATCAGCTCCGAGCTCCAGTTGAAGCCCTTGCCGCACTCCAGGCACTTGTGGGGCTTCTCGCCCGTGTGGGTCCGGATGTGGGCCATGAGGTGGGAGTTTTGGCTGAAGCTCTTCCCGCACTCGGAGCAGGTGTAGGGCTTCTCCCCGGTGTGGATGCTTTGGTGGCGGATGAGGTCGGCGCTCAGGCTGAAGCCCTTGCCGCACTCCAGGCACTTGTAGGGCTTCTCCCCCCGGTGGCTCTTCTCGTGGAGGACCAGGGTGGCCTTTTGGCTGAAGCTCTTCCCGCACTCCAGGCAGGAGTAGGGCTTCTCGCCCGTGTGGCTGCGCTCGTGGATGATGAGGCTGGACCGCTGGTTGTAGCTCTTCTCGCACAGCAGGCACTTGTAGGGCTTCTCGCCCGTGTGGGTCCGCTCGTGCAGCTGCAGGTGGGAGCTCTGGCTGAAGCGCTTGTCGCAGTGCGAGCACTTGAAGGGCTTCTCCCCCGTGTGGGTCCGGCCGTGGGTGTTCAGGGTGGAGCGTTTGCCAAAGCTCTTCCCGCACTCGTTGCATTTGTAGGGTTTCTCCGCCGGCGGGGACTTCTCCTGAGTCCGGAGCTCCGCCACGCTGGCGCTCCTCAGGCTTGGCCCAAACGTTTTGGAGAGCTCCTGGCCTTTCTTCTGGAGGAAGCTCTCCTGGACTGCAAACTCGCTGAAGTCGAAGAAGCCCCCGCCGAACGGGATCGAAATGGGGGCCCTGGCTTCCAGCAGACAATCCACCGTCCTCGAGGGGCTGTCCGGGGCGCCCAACTGGCCCCCAACGCTGGGGGTAAAGCTGACCTCGTCTCCGCCCCACATCATCCTGTTCAGCTGCAGGCGCTCCGAGCCCCCAGGCAAACCGTCCCGTTCCTTATTTTGGTTCCTCCATCCGGCTGCGGAAAAACAAGAGAACTGAGAAGTCAAACGTTCCCGACCAGGTCAAGGAAAACAGGGGACACCAGTTTAAAGGAACGGGGACGGCTGGGGAATTCTGGGAACTGAAGTCCACGCCTCTTAAGAACTGCCAAGATTGGGAAACAATGAGTCAGTGGGAGAGAGCCGGTTTGGTCTTTTGGTTAAAGCAGTGGTTCTCAACCTGTGAATCGGGACCCCATTTGGAGGCGAACGACCATTTCACGGGGGTCGCCAAACAATGCAGTCCGCCATTTTTCCCCCCTTTTCCTTAGCTGTGCTACTCCCTTTTATTCTACTGGCTTTTGAAAGCCAATAGAATAGACTCTCTTGAATAGAGTCTAATTCTATTGGCTTTCAAAAGCCAATAAGAATTGTCCAGGCTGTCTCTGCCCTGCTGAGCCCGCCAAAAGTCCCATTCTGCAAACGGTGCGGCACCAGTTGAGTAGTCCTCGACTTACGACCGGTTGAGTAGTCCTCGACTTATGACCGGTTGTGGGGTCGCGGCATTAAAAAGGTTGAGAACCACTGGGTTAAAGGTCAACGGGACAGAAATCAGACGGTTGCGAGTTCTAGTCTTGCCTTAGCTGGTTTGAGTGACTTTGGGCCAGTCCCTCCCTCTCAGCCCTAGGAAGAAAGAAGGCGGCAAAGGCAAAACTTCCCAAAAATGTTGCTACAGTAGTGGCCAAAACTGTGGAAACCTTTTGGGAAAAGTGTATTTTTGAGGTTTGATGGCTAATAACACCACTTTGGGGGGGGGGGAATAGTACCCTAAAATTATACATCAGTGGAAAGATAATTTAACCAAGAATGTAATGCAACATAGTTTGTTCAATTATCTGTACTGTATTCTATGAAAAGCTATAGCCAAATAACCAGAAAAAGGAAGTACAACTTGCTTAGGTTGATTTCAGGTAGCTTTCCTTCATCTGATTGTAGCCAAGGTGCATGACTGTTTAGACAGCCAATCAGGTGTCATTTTGTTTTGGCAACGAGCCAATCAGATCACAGTAGGATTCAGTTATTGATGTCATGCATTGAAGCTGAGAGGACATTTGTCAGTGTGTTATGTGATCGCTATCAAGTTGGTTGGGGTTTTTTTTTTGTGTGTTCTTTCATTTAGTGAGCTTGTAAAACGTAGTAAACTTAAAGTAACAGTGCAAAAGAGTTGACTGGTCGCCCAGAAAGCGATGTAAAATAGTATTATTAAGTGAACAAGGCTACAGTTGTAAAGAAATTAGAAGAAAAATGGGTGGGAACTTAACCGAAGATGGCATTTCTACTGTTCGCTTTTCCCAAAAGGTTTCCACAATTTTGGCCACTATTATAAGGACACTGCAGGGACTTGACCAGGCAGTCGCCAGGATTCAAGACTGGCTGAAAGGTAGGAAAACGGAATAGGAAGCCTGACTGCGCCACAGGAGTGGAGCTAAAAGTCCCACTGGAAGCCAAAGTATCCCCGGAGCCTCCGGAGACCATATTAGGCCCCGCAAAGTCTGGACATCAACGGGAGGAGACTGACCTTTGAGCCGCAGTATCATTTCTTGGAAAACGGTGCTGTTCTGACACAAACTGCCGTATCTCTGCTTGATCTCCTCCAGTCTCCCAGCCAGCGGCTCGTCGTCCTCTCTGAGGGTCCCAGTGAGACAGAAAGGAGGAAAGGAATTAAGACGACTGATTTACGGAACAGAAACAGGATCACAAAGTGCACATTTAAAAGGACGGAGTTCCTAAAGCAGTGGTTCTCAACCTTTTTAATGCCGCGACCCCAACCGGTCGTAAGTCGAGGACTACTCAACCAGTCGTAAGTCGAGGACTACTCAACTGGTGCAGCACCGTTTGCAAAATGGGACTTTTGGCGGGCTCAGCAGGGCAGAGACAGCCTGGACAATTCCTATTGGCTTTGGAAAGCCAATAGAATGAGACCCTATTCAAGAGAGTCTATTCTATTGGCTTTCAAAAGCCAATAGAATAAAAGGGAGTAGCACAGCTAAGGAAAAGGGGGGGGGGGAAATGGCGGACTGCGTTGTTTGGCGACCCCCGTGAAATGGTCGTTCGACCCCAAATGGGGTCCTGACCCACAGGTTGAGAACCGCTGTCCTAAAGTGTAATCTAGGTGTTCACTGAACTTGATGGGTTTTTTTTTTTACCTTCAGACATTTGATTACCCGATTTGGTAACAGCATCAGCGTTGAGGGAAGGTGGGGCGGAGGGTTGCTGCCTTTTATATGGAATAGCTTGTCCTGCCATTTTGGGCAGGAGCGCACACATAGTCCTCGACTTACGTACACAATTGACCTCCCGCGTTTCTGTTACTAAACAAAACCGTCATCAAGTGAGTTTTTGCCCCATTTTAGGACCTTCCTTGACCAGAGTTGTTGAGTGAATCACTGCAGCTGTTATGTTAGTAACATGGTTGTAATAAGTCAGACATTTCAAACACAAGGCCCGGGGGCCGGATGCAGCCCGCGAAGTGTTTTCATGTGGCCTGCGAAGCCATCCTGGAAACAGTGAGTGAACGGCCAACACTGTCTTGGCCCTGGCCCAGGCCGGCCGGGAGCCAATGGACAATTTTGTAGTGGCCATCTATGCTGAAACGCATTCAGTCTTAGCTCCACAAGGCCATCTGGAAACAGCGAGGAACCAGCCCCTGCCATGTCGGCCCCGCCCCCTGGGTGCATGCTGGGGAGGTGTCACCCTTTGTGAGGAATGAAGAAATGCACCAATGCCTTGGCGCTTGCCCCGGTCCCACCCCCTTCTGCCAGAGACCTTCAGATCTGTCCCACTCGTGCCCAGGCCCCCACAGGCACCCTTGACGCGAACGATGTAGAGCTGGCCATGCCCACCCAGTAGGCCACACCCACTCCATCCACACCCACCCAGTAGGCCACCCCCCCGGCCACCCCTCCACCCCCCCCCAAGGGCAACCGCAATACTGATGCGGCCCTCAATGAAATTGTGTTTGACACCCCTGTTATAAGTGAATCTGGCTTCCCCATTGACATGGTTTATCGGAAGGCCGCAAAAGGGGATCACGTGATCCTCTTAACTAGCTGTCAAGAGTTCTAGTTTCGATCGGTCACGTGACCACAGGGGGGATACCACCAGAGTCGTAAATGTGAAAAATGGTCATTAAGTCACTTTTTTCAGTGGTGTTGTAACTTTGAACAATCACTAAATCAGGAATAAGTAACCTGGGCTCTTTTATGACTCGTGGACTTCAACTCCCAGAATTCCTCAGGCAGCCTGGCTCAGCTTGGAAACCTCTCCGTTTCCCCTCAGCATGGCTGGCTCAGGAATTATGGGACTTGAAGTCCACGAGTCATAAAGCGGCCTAGGCCTAGGCCAGAGATAGGCAGCCTTGGCTCTTTTATGACTCGTGGACTTCAACTCCCAGAATTCCTGAGTCAGCATGGCTCAGCTTGGAAACCTCTTCCCTGTCCCCTCAGCATGGCTGTCTCAGGAATTCTGAGAGTTGAAGTCCACGAGTCATAAAAGAGCCACAGTTGCCTATCCCTGGTCCATAATATCTTCAGCAGCCATGGATGGATTAACTGATTGATTTAATTCAGGGGTCGTCAAACTTGGCCCTTTTATGACTCGTGGACTTCAACTCCCAGAATTCCTGAGCCAGCCTGGCTCAGCTTGGAAACCTCTCCCTTTCCCCTCAGCATGGCTGGCTCAGGAATTCTGGGAGTTGAAGTCCACGAGTCATAAAAGAGCCACAGTTGCCTATCCCTGGTCCATAATATCTTCAGCAGCCATGGATGGATTAACTGATTGATTTAATTCAGGGGTCGTCAAACTTGGCCCTTTTATGACTCGTGGACTTCAACTCCCAGAATTCCTGAGCCAGCCTGGCTCAGCTTGGAAACCTCTCCCTTTCCCCTCAGCATGGCTGGCTCAGGAATTCTGGGAGTTGAAGTCCACGAGTCATAAAAGAGCCAAGCTTGCCTGCCCCTGTGCTAAATGAACGGTTGTAAATTGAGGACTATGTGTAGTTTCTTTCTTACTCCTTCTTCCTTCTGCCAAGAAGGAAACAACACCCCTCATCCAAAACTGGCAAGGAAAACTACGACATTTAAACAGGCAGCGTCCTAATTCTTAGCCCGGAAGAAACTCCACGAACAAAGCAATAAACAAAAAAAACACCACCTCCAATTCTTACCTGCTCCCAATATTTCCAGACTCCTAAGGGAGAAGAAAGACATAATTATACAGGTGGAAAAAAATCTACTTAGGAAGTCCCGCAAAACTAAGGGCCCATGGAACTATTTCACTGGCACGGGATACTGCAGCGGCAGCAATTTCTTTCCTTTTTAATGTCAGTTAAAGTTCATTTATGTCTTTTTAGCTTTAAAATTTGAACGCAACCAGTAGCAACAAAATTTAATGTAACCTGCACACAAAATATTCCTCTTGGCCAATTTTTCTGTAACTTGGCTGGCCGGTAGCCTTCGGTATAACTACTGCCGTATTTTTGCTCAGAGAACAAAAGACGAGAAAGCAAAGAGTTTGGTTCAATTCCCCCTGCCCTATGTGGAATAACATTGAACAAAATACTTAGTTTTGGCTGTATTCAAGGCAATATTCTAGAACTCGGTCTTTTTTTGTTTTGTTTTGTTTTGTTTTTTAAATCTGAATCAACCTTATTTGTCCAAAATGGTATAGGGTTTCCTACCTGAGCAGGGGGTTGGACTAGATGACCTCCAAGGTCCCTTCCAACTTATTATTATTATTATATGTTGAGGTCAGATGGGATAATAATAATAATAATAATAATAATAATAATAGTTGGAAGGGACCTTGGAGGTCATCTAGTCCAATCCCCTGCTCAGGCAGGAAACCCTATACCATTTCAGACAAATGGCTGTCCAGTCTCTTCTTAAAAACTTCCAGTGTTGGAGCATTCACAACTTCTGGAGGCAGGTTGTTCCACTGGTTAATTATCTGCAGAAGATGGGCAGACAGCTTCAATACCATAGAGACGTATAATAATAATAATAATAATAATAATAATAATAATAATAATAATAATAATACACTCCAGACTTAACAATTGTCGATAAGAAAGGCAAAAAAGTCTGGATAATGGACATGGCAGTGCCTGGAGACAGCAGAATAGACGAGAAAGAACTGGAGAAGATAACAAAATACAAAGACCAACAAATAGAAATAGAAAGACTGGCAAAAGCAAGCAAGGGTAGTACCAATAGTCATAGGCTCCTTGGGCGCAATCCCAAAACAACTGGAGCACCACTTGAACACCATTGGCATTGACAAATTCGCTATTAGTCAGTTGCAAAAGGCAGCCTTACTAGGAACTGCTTCCATCCTGCGACGATATCTGTAATACCATCAAACATCCACCTCTGCCTATCCCAGGTCCTGGGTAAGGACTCGATAGGTAGACAAAATGCCAAATCCAGTCTGAATATCTGGCTGACTGTGCGATGATTAATAATAATAATAATAATAATAATAATAATAATGTTGGAAGGTACCACTATCTCCTCACTGCTGTCCTCTTCCTCTTCATCTTCTTTCATGTTGCTCAGGTCAATCATTTCCGAATCAGGCTGCACCTTCCATGGAATAAAACTGTATTAATAGAAACCATGAGGACTTTCTCCTTTTCCAGTTTTCCATCCCCCCGCGACTGAAAAAATAATTGGTTTCTGCTTAAAGACATCCAGGCAACATTTTTCACTCACTCACTCACTCACTCAATCAATCAATTTCAGGAAAGAAAACTTATGCTAGGCAAAGAAATAAAACCATCAACTGATTTTGGCCATAGTGTCTTGGTTTCAAGAAAAAGCTCTTTCAGACTTCCTTATTCAAGCTCTGCTCTATTAGCTTTTAGTAGCAATGAAAGGAGGGAGGGGGGGGGGGAAGGAAAAGAAACAAAGAAAGGGGAAAAGAGGGAGGGGAAGAGAGAAGAAAATCCGTATAAAGGCATCTCAAATTAAACCCCAATTAAACCATTTCAAGCTCCAAAAATCATTGGTTAACAAGGGGGTCCTTGACCATAACTGAGCCTGGAATTACGTGACATGACATGAATTACAGTCGTCGGTAATACCACCTGATTTGACGACCTTTTTTTGGCCAACCTTTTTCGACAACTCTTCTGAGTGTATCTCCGGAACTTTTGCACTCACCACTTCCTAAAGTGGATCACACAACAGTGCGGGATCGGGTGGGGGGAGGGTGAGCAGAAGGGAAATGGGATGAACACGATTGCTACCTGTAGATCATCCTTGGGCGGTGGAGAGCCCCGATTCTTGTTATCTTCTGTTATCTTTTTCTCGCTGTCTTTCACCTCCTGACAATCCTGTCCCTCGTTCTCTCTTTCTTTGCTAAGGTTTACGAGCCTGTCCTAAAGAAAGGGAAAAAAATAAATAAATCCCAGGAGGATTGCAAGAAATATTTCAGCTTCTGTAAACTTTATGTTGTAGGTTTTGCATTTAGCTCCAGGCGGTGCTTCTTTCGTCTTTTTCTTCTAACGCGGTGGTTCTCAACCTTTTTAATGCCGCGACCCCCAACCGGTCGTAAGTCGAGGACTACTCAACTGGTGCAGCACTGTTTGCAGAATGGGACTTTTGGCGGGCTCAGCAGGGCAGAGACAGCCTGGACAATTCCTATTGGCTTTTGAAAGTCAATAGAATTAGACTCTATTCAAGAGAGTCTATTCTATTGGCTTTCAAAAGCCAATAGAATAAAAGGGAGTAGCACAGCTAAGGAAAGGGGGGGGGGGAAATGGCAGACTGCGTTGTTTGGCGACCCCCGTGAAATGGTCGTTCGACCCCAAATGGGGTCCCAACTCACAGGTTGAGAACCACTGCACTAACGCTTCTATCGATGGTTTATTCTACAGTTCTTTCCCCATTTCAAGTTTTTGTACTGAGCTAAGGATGCCGGTTGAATTTTGGTTTCCCAGCACAGCCATTTTTTAACTTGACTATTCCAGTAAATAAAATAAAACGCTTCTATTCAGCTGAATAAAACCAAATTGTAAATACAACCCTGTTTGGCATCGTGGACACCTATAACGTGGTTTGTTTGAACTGGCTTTGTACAAGCAGCAAATCCAGCCCTTAGGCCTCATAAACCACGGTTTACGGCTGTTTGCACACTCAAGTCATGGCGATTCACTCAATAAAACTCATTCGAGCGTGTGATCCAATCCCAACATTCGGAAATTATTCAATGATTACCTCTGGCCTAAGTGGCCAGTTTTCCCATTAAGGTGACTTCTTATTGGGATCGAAGATTGTCTTCGTGCATTGCTGATCTGTGCCTCTTTTCCAAAAAGAGTGGATGCAAAAGATTTGCTTTTTTCAAGATTGGGGCAGTGAATAATCTGGGATGTAAAAACCTGCACTGGGTTCTAAAGCTGTGGGGGGGGGAGCCCATGCCCAGTATTTCTTGCCACTTAAAATGAGCAATGCAAAAAAAAAAAGCACTGTTTCTTGGCAAGATCCGTTCTAAACCTTGAGCTGTGGTGAAGCAGTGGTTAGTAGGCTACTGCTACTAGCAGCAGTTCGGCAGTTCGATTCTCAACGGCTCAAGGTTGACTTAAGCCTTCTATCCTTCCGAGGTCAGTAAAATGAGGACCCAGATAATGATAATGATAATAATGATAATAATGATAATAATAATAATAATAAGAAGGAGAAGGAGAAGGAGAAGGGGAAGGAAAAGGAGAAGGAGAAGAAGTTGGAAGGGATCTTGTAGATCATCTAGTCCAACCCCCTGCTCAGGAAGGAAATCCTATACCTGTAATGGAGAACCTATGGTACGGGTGCCAGAGGTGGCACGCAGAGCCCTCTCTGTGGGCACGTGCACCGTCACCCCAGTCCTAGGCCTTCAGCTGGGTTTTATAAAACCTTTTCGCTTTAGGCCTCCGCCGCCGTGTGCAAAAAAAAAAAAGTTCAATCAATTTCAACTTCTCGCGGGGGAAAAAAAAGATCTCGCAAAATTGGAATTGATTGAACTTTTTAGTCCCACCCAGTCTGCCGTTACCACTGCAGCCACACCCACCCAATGGGCCACGCCCACCCGGCACTCGGCGATACATACAGTAAGTGGGTTTTGGGTTGCAGTTTGGGCACTCGGTCTCTAAAAGGTTCGCCATCACTGCCCTATACCATTTCAGACATCTGTAGAAGGTAAGATTGATTTCTTAAATTTTTATCTTTTTCATTTCCATGAAATATGCCCAAGAGGTCTGATTGCAATAAAAGATGCACCATTCACATGACCTAATAAGATAAAATTATAACATTAAAAATAAATGTGTGCTAATTATAACTACCAAAATGAAACTAAAGTGTTCTTTCGCTTACCCATGGACTCCCCTTGAATTGGGCCTTTGATTTATTAGGTGCCATCAAGTCGATGGTAGCAAATACAGAAGTAGACAGATTTTTTCCATAGGCTTTTCTAGGACTTATTTATGGCAATAAATGTGCTCTAATTCTAGTTGTTTTTCACTAAGACTTATTTGTGGCAATAAACTGGCTCTCATTCTAGTTCTTTTTCACTAAGATTTATGGCAATACACGGGCTCTTATTCTAGGTTTTTTTCCCGCTAAGACTTATGGCAATAAACTGGCTCTAATTCTAGGGGGGGTTTTTTTGCTAAGACTTATTTATGGCAATAAATTGGCTCTAAATCTAGCTTTTGTCCCACTTTGTAATATGCTAATAATAGTAGTAGTAGTAGTTGGAAGGGACCTTGGAGGTCATCTAATCCAACCCCCTGCTCAGGCAGGAAACCCTATACCAGTGATGGCGAACCTTTTAGAGACCGAGTGCCCAAACCACAACCCATAACCCACTTATTTATTGCAAAGTGCCAGGTCTGCATCAGCACTGTGGTGCCTTCAGGGGGGGCAGGGATGTGCCTCTGAGTGCTGCTTCTGGCACTCAAAAACCAGGGGCACAAAAATGGGCCACTGTGCTGCAAGACACAAAAACAGCTGCCATGACACCGCAAAGTGCAGATACAAGGTGCTGCACCACATAAGAACGGGGCAGGGCTAGTGAGTATCATGAAGGCACTAGCCCCGCCCCATTTGCAGTGCGTCCATGCTCGCGGCCCCGTGTGCGCATGCACGCATGTAAAATGCTTCCCCCTCCCTTTTCTTACAGTCCACCAATCGACAATGGTTGGTGACCTCTGCTCTACCACCTCTACTCGAGCTTGCCAATTGGCCTCTTCACCTCCTTTGTGCTGGGTGGGGATCCTGCTCCAGGCGATGGTGGCGGCCTGATGGACCTGCTGCTGGTGGCGGTGGCGGACGTGCCAACAGAGAGGGATCTGAGTGCCGCCTCTGGCACACGTGCCATAGGTTCGCCACCACTGCCCTACACCATTTCAGACAAATGGCTGTCCAGTCTCTTCTTAAAAAGAAGAGGCATTTACAATGCCTTGGTAAGGCCACACTTGGAATACTGCATCCAGTTTTGGTCACCACGATGTAAAAAAGATATTGAGACTCTAGAAAGAGTATAGAGAAGAGCAACAAAGATGATCAGGGGACTGGAGGCTGAAACATATAAGGAATGGCTGCTGGAATTGGGTATGTCTAGTTTAATGAAGAGAAGGACAAGGGGGGACATAATAGCAGTGTTCCAATATCTCAGGGGCTGCCCCAAAGAAGAGGGAGTCAAGCTATTTTCCAAAGCGCCTGAAGGCAGGAAAAGAAGCAATGGATGGAAACTAATCAAGGAGAGAAGCAACCTAGAACTAAGGAGAAACTTCCTGACAGTTAGAACAATTAACCAGCGGAACAGCCTGCCTCCAGAAGCGGTAAATGCTCCAACACTGGAAGTTTTTAAGAAGAGACTGGACAGCCATTTGTCCGAAATGGTATAGGGTTTCCTGCCTGGGCAGGGGGTTGGACTAGATGACCTCCAAGGTCCCTTCCAACTTTACTATTATTATTATTATTAATTTATTATTTATTTATTTATGAGACTTATATACCGCTTTAAGTGCAAGCACTCTCTAAGTGGTGTACACCAGTAAGCAATGTATATATATATATTTTACATTGCTCCCAACAATCTGGGTCCTCATTTTACCTACCTCGGAAGGACGGAAGGCTGAGTCAACCTTGAGCCGGTGAGATTTGAACCGCTGACCTGCTGAACACAGTCAGCTGAAGTGGCCTGCAGTACTGCACTCTAACTGCTGCGCCACCTCGGCTCATTAACTTCCAGTGTTGGGGGCAACATGCTAACCATGAACCCGCTTAGAGAGGGCTGTAAAGCACTGTGAAGCAACATACAAGCCTAAGTTCTATTGCTATTGCTAAACACATTTTGGTATGACGGCAGCATCACATTGCTGAACTATTCATTCAGGAGCCCGATCACTCGTTTTGTCACCAAGACGCACATTTTGCTGAGCTTTTTGAAAAAAAGGCACAGATTTTTTTTAAAGACAGTATTTCCCAATCTTGGCAACTTTAATGGACTTCACCTCCCAGAATTCTGTCTGGCTGGAGAATTCTGGGAATTGAAGTCCATATATCTCAATTTAGATTAGATAACCTTTATTGTCATTTTTTTCCTGTGGGCACAACGGCACACATTAAAAATGAAATTTAGTTGCTTCCTCTCAAAGTGTACACATACATAACACATATTTAAAACATACTACATACAATATATGTATAGACCTACACCAGGGGTAGGCGACCTGGGCTCTTTTATGACTTGTGGACTTCAACTCCCAGAATTCCTCAGCCAGCTATGCTGAGGGGAAAGGGAGAGGTTTCCAAGCTGAGCCATGCTGGCTCAGGAATTCTGGGAGTTGAAGTCCACGAGTCATAAAAGAGCCAAGGTTGCCTACCCCTGTCCTACACCCTTACATATAAGTAACATATGAATATTAATCACTGTCCATCTTGAATACATAACGAAAGGAGGAAGCTTTTGAGTTCACAAGGTTAAAATTGCCAAGGTTGGGGAAACACTGTTTAAGAAGCAGACAATAGATGTAGAGAGTTCCCATGCTGGGCCCAAAGCATCTTTTCCCACTTCAGATCAGATCAACACACACCCCTTGTTTTTCATCAATTCTTCTTCTGCCCCCTTATAAATCAGAATGTCAATGTCTGTGATCATATCAAGGCTTTTTAATGCCTCAAGGATTTTGTCTGCAGTATCTCAGGCTGCCATTAGAGGGCAGCAAAATGACAGAGACAATCTTCCCAGCTGCCACCTAGTGCAGCCTAATTTAGATGGAAAATTTGGTGTCTGAATCTCCACAATCATGTGCAAGCAAAGGTGATGATCTTTGCCACAGACCTACTGACACATCACAACTTAACAGTTAATTTCTACAGACTCAAAAAGAGACAAATACTCTTTTGTTTTAGGGGAATCAGGTTTCCCCTCTCTTCTTTGCCAAATTCTTACTTGCATTTGGTCCTCCTCCGCAGTCTTGTCAATTCCAGCATTCATGGTGAGATTGTTTCGATCTACCGCAAAAAACGAGGCCACTGGAAAAGAAAGGAAGGGACAGAAAAAAAGCAGTCAGGAGAAATGTTTGAAGGGATGGATATAAAAAAAGGAAAAGGGAAAAAGAAGAAAGTGATAAAAGTAATTGTCCCCACTATGACAAAGTGACTAACAGAATATTTGCAAATATAATAATATAATATAATATAATATAATATAATATAATATAATATAATATAATATAATATAATATAAGTAATGTAATATAATATATAATATCTCTTTTAAAAAATGGTTCTCCTCTGGACTTTTCCATCAAGCTGACACACATCAGCAAAGGCCAACATCTGGAACTTCAGATCACAATTCTAGGAGGAAAAAAAAAGTGCCTCTGAACATACGCAGAGTGCAAGTTTCCTTTCAAGAGAGAGAGCAGCCCAGTTCCTCGCCAGTTATCAGAAGGGAATAGGAGAATAAGAAACGAGCACGGCAAGATTTAAGCTTCAGAATTATTATTTTTTTAAATGTAGGGGGGGGAACCCGTCTTGCAAAAATGTGCAGAAAAAGTATTTCCCCCCCCCCGACTCCTCTATCCAAACACCCACGATTAAACGTCCGTCTTCCTCCAAGTCGATAATGGAGACCGAAACGGGGTGTGTGTGGGGAGGGGAGGCCGTCCCAGCAACGGAGGGCGTTGCAAGAGCAAAGGCGAGATTCCTTCCGAGCATGTGCAAAGCGCACTTCCTTCCCGTAATATCGGAGCGCGGCGGCCCTTTTCCTTCCTCGAGCGGGCCGCAAAAGACAAAGGGGGATGGGGGGGGGGAGCGAGAGGCGGCCGCGACTCGGAAAAGAGCCTCTGAGCATGTGCAAAGTCTCTCTGCGCTCTTCACCTCCGGGTGTGTGGGGGGGTGGTTTCCAGGCCGGGAAGGCCTTTCTTTGGAGAAAGGCGGACGAGAGGGACGTCGAGGCAACAAGAGAGGGGAAGAAAAAGCCAGGCGAAAGGTGGCCCCTCAAGGCAGCTGCTCGGCCCCGGCCCTCGCCATTCCTTCGGGGAGGAACGGCTACAGGGCAAACTTGAGACCGGTTGGACGCTTCATTGGCTTCCTCTTCCCGGGGATCGCTGGGAGTTGTAGTTCGCCTCCGCCGGCGGCGGGTCTCGGGCGGGCGGTCTTTCGGGCCCTTCGCGGACTGCGTTTCCCAGGATCCCTCGCGGCGACAGGCGGGGCGGGGGCCTCGCGGCTGACAAGGGCTCTCCGCGAGCGCCTTGCAGCAGCGAGCCGGGCTTTGCTGCAAAGTAAAAGTCGAGTTTCCTTCGCTGGCGATCCGGCGAGGGCGGAGAGGAACTCGGCTTGACACCGGATTAAGCGCCGTTTCCAACGGTCCGCAAGGTTAGCTTTCTCAAGGCAAAGGAACCTGGGACTTGGCAGCGTGCGCTCACCGTTCACACGGAATACAAGACTTAACAGTTCGTTTAGTGACCGTTCGAAGTAACAAGAGCAGTGTGTGTGTGTGTTTGTGTGTGAAGTGACTTACGACCGTTTGTCACTCGACTGGCAACATCCTCACAGTCACGTGATCAAATAGTCAGATGCTTGGCACACTGGTTTGTATTTATGACGGTCACAGTGTCCCAATGATCATGAGATCACCCTTTTTTTGTGCCCTTCTGACAAGCAAAGTCAATGGGATTCACTTAACAAGCGTGTCACTAATTTAACAAATGCAATGATTCACTTAACAACTGTGGCAAGACAAGTCGTAAAATCGGGCAAAGAAACTTAAGAAATGTTTCCTTTAGCAGTGGAAATTTTGGACTCATCTGGTGTCATAACTCGAGGACTATTAACCAGTGGCACAACCTGCCTCCAGAAGCAGTGAATGCTCCAACACTTGAAGTTTTTAAGAAGAGACTGGACAGCCGTTTGTCTGAAATGGCATAGGGTTTCCTGCCTGAGCAGGGGGTTGGACTCGATGACCTCCAAGGTCCCTTACAAGTTCTTTTATTATTACTACCTGGACCTGTGTACAGCCATCACTTTTGGAAGAAGCAAGGCTGCTTTCTCACCCCAGCAAGGAGTTACAACCATCAGTCTCCGTTCCCCAGGGCCTTCTGGCGGGGGCAGCGTTGGACCCTGTGTCTGCTAGGTCTATGGGACAGGTAGAGGTTCAACAGGTGTCACCCCAATATGTGAAGTGACCCCTTTGGTTTCCTAATGAAACAGGCAACTTTCAGCATTCAACCTACTGCACTTTATTATACTGTACATTGTACTGTAAGCTGACCAATTCATTCTAGAATACAGTCATATATACGTAGAGTGCAAGTGTGTTTATCTAGAACAGGGGTCTTCAAACTTGGCCCTGTTATGACGTGTGGACTTCAACTCCAGAATTCCTCAGCCAGCCAGCCTGGCTGGCTGAGGAATTCTGGAGTTGAAGTCCACACGTCATAACAGGGCCAAGTTTGAAGACCCCTGATCTAGAAGGTGCCACAAAAAGTTACTTTTCTTACATAATATTACCGAGACACTATTCTGTACAGGATCTCCTGGTGGTCTTCTATCCCAGGATTAATAACAACCCATACACACGTGATCTGTGTCTGACTTTCTCTTTGACTCCCCAACAATGGTAGCCCTAGATGACCATGTGCTTAAGTATTCTAGCTAGGGTTGATGACACGTAGCTTTTCAAGAGCAGCCAAGCCCAGCTATGAAAAGTGAAGTAAGTGCAACCAGTTTTAGTGGAATGTTTTTTTTAAAAAAGTCTGGATAGTGGACACGGGAGTATCCAGAGATAGCAGAATAGAAGAGAAAGTACTAAGCGACCAAAAAATGTATATATCACAAAACGTAAAGGCCTGCAAATAGAGCTAGAACAGCGGTTCTCAACCCGTGGGTCGCGACCCCATTTGGGGTCAAACGACCATTTCACGGGGGTCACCAAACAACGCAGTCCGCCATTTTTTCCCTCTTTTCCTTAGCTGTGCTACTCCCTTTTATTCTATTTGGCTTTTGAAAGCCAATAGAATAGACTCTTGAATAGAGTCTAATTCTATTGGCTTTCAAAAGCCAATAGGAATTGTCCAGGCTGTCTCTGCCCTGCTGTGCCCGCCAAAAGCCCCAGTTTGCAAACGGTGCTGCAAGTTGTCTGCAGCAAAGGCGAGCTGTCTGGAAGTTTCCACCCCTCCTGCTGATCAACTACTAAAAATGTAAGTAAAAGAGGGCCAGGGGTGGGAGGTGGGAGGCCGGCGGGCGCAGGGAGGGTTGCTGGCGCGCGTGGGGCCCGGCGGGTGCCTTACTTCCCTTGGTCTGGGCCAGCCGGTGGTCGCCCTGCGCCGTCACTGCCCCTTGTCAGCTACGCCTCGGCCGGCGCAAGGGGCGACACCGCGCATGCGCGGCGCTCCCGGGCAGGGAAAGTCCTCGACTTACAACCGGTTGGGTAGTCCTCGACTTACGACCGGTTGGGGTCGCGGCATTAAAAAGGTTGAGAACCATTGAGCTAGAACGACTCCGGAAAAAGAAAGCCAGGACAGCATCCATGGTAACAGGTGGGAAGGCAGAGAAATTCAAGGTTGGATGGCATGGATGAGCCCCTGGACAAAGAGTGGAGATATTTAAAGAACCAAAGGCAACGTATGAAGCAGGAGATGATGGCAGGATATATTTGGAAGGACTGAAAGACAGGAAGATCCTCTTGTCTTATTCCCATGTACTCTTGTCTTTACTCTGCACAAGGGTGGATATATGCCAGTGGTGGCGAACCTATGGCACGCATGCCAGAGGCGGCACTCAGAGCCCTTTCTGGCACACGCACCATGCCCTGGAGATGGCAACCGTCCCTCTTCAACCAGCTGCCCGCTAACTCACCGAGGTCCCACATGGCCAGATGCGTCCCAGCACACTGGCCTCTGTGTGCGGGGGCTGATGGTGTCAGGTCACGGTGAAGCAGTCATTAACTGCTATATAATGCAGGTGGAACTGTGGCAAGGAGGCCAGCCCCAGCCTGACATATATTCCTGGGAAGCTTTTCCTGACTGTGGATGAGGGATTCTTGATTCCAAGATGTACATCAGGAAACTCAGGAACACGGTTTGACAATTTGCATTTTGCAGCTGTGGAAGGCCTCTTAATTTCTCAGTGCAAGAAATATGGAAACGGCTTGCCTGCATTTGTGCATCATTTAACCTGGTTACTGAATCAAGATATTTTGGGGACTTGCATTCTGTGTTGAACCAGGAACTAATAGTACAAATGGGTTCGGCTCACTGTAACTCAGATTCGCCCAAAACAAAAATCTAAATAAACGGACATAGTTTAGGGCAGTGGTGGCGAACCTATGGCACGCGTGCCAGAGGCGGCACTCAGAACCCTCTCTGAGCACACGCACCATGCCCTGGAGATGGCAACTGTCCCTCTTCAACCAGCTGCCTGCTAACTCGCCGAGGTCCCACGTCACCAGATGCACCCCAGCATGGCTGGTTTCCCTCCCCTCCATCCCATCCCTCCTGGCCTCGCACGCTCTCCTTTTCCCGGGCATGACCCACTGCATTGCCTCCTCAGCTGTCGGCTGGCCTTCCAGCTCAGAGGCGGCTTCTCTGAACTGCTGGTGGCGGGCTGAAAAGCCCCAGAATGTGCCGATTGAGGGGCCGGCAGGCTGTGGCTGCTGACGGACACTGTCAGCCCCCATGTGCTCGCTGGCCTCTGTGTGCGGGGGCCGATGGTGTCAGGCAGCAGCCGCCCCGGCCCCTGCCTCACCTTGCCCTGCGACAATGGCACCCCCACCCTACATCGCCTTGCCTCGCCTCACCCCGCAGGACGAGCCTCCTGTCCATCGCCCCACCTGCCAGAGACCCCCTTGATCTCCCCCAACCGGCATCCCTCCCCACAAGCAACATCGAGGTGACCACGCCCACCCAGTCTGCCATGACCACCACAGCCACGCCCACTCAGTGGGCCATGCCCACCTGGCAATAAATAAGTGGTTTGGGGGTTGCTGTTTGGGCACACAGTCTCTAAAACAGTGGTTCTCAACCTGTGGGTCGGGACCCCATTTGGGGTCGAACGACCATTTCACGGGGGTCGCCAAACAAGGCTGTCCGCCATTTTTCCCCCTTTTCTTTGGCCACGCCCCTGGCACCCGGTGATGTATAAGTGGTTGGGGGTCACCACAACATGGGGAACTGTATTATGGGGTCGCGACATTAGAAAGGTTGAGAACCACTGCTCTAAAAGGTTTGCCCTCACTGATATATGCTTTGGAGAACAGGTTGACTCCCTCTTCTTCGTGGCAGCCCCTCAGATACTGGAATACTGCTATCAAGTCACCCCTATTTTTTCTTCTCTCTAGACCAGAGGTCCTCAACCTTTTAGGCACCAGGGACCGGTTCCGTGGAGAGAGGTTTTTCCGCGGACCAGAGGGATGTGTGGTTTCGTGTGCTGCCTGCATCCTGTGGATGGGGCTTTCCTTGTTTGTGTGGACCGGTTGCTGGCATGCCGCGGCCCAGTACTGGCCCACAGACTGGGGGTTGGGGACACCCTGCTCTAGATTAGCCATACTCAAATCCTGCAGCCCTTCTTCAAAGTCTCCAGGCCTTGGATCATCTTAGCTGCTCTTCTCTGAACTTTTTCCAAAAACTCAACAGCTTTTTTTTGTAATGCGGTGAACAAAATTGGTTGCAGTATTCCAGGTGTGTCTTATACTAAGGTTGTATAAAGTGGTACTAAGAAATTCAACCATAAGAAAGGCTGAGCACCAAAGAATTGAGGTCTTTGAACTGTGGCGCTGGAGAAGACTACTGCGAGTCCCCTGGACTGCAAGGCGGTCAAACCGGTCAGTCCTAGAAGAGATCAACCCCGACTGCTCTTTAGAAGGCCAGATCCTGAAGTTGAAACTCCAGTACTTTGGCCACCTAATGAGAAGGAAGGATTCACTGGAGAAGGGCCTAATGCTGGGAAAGATTGAGGGCAATAGAAGAATGGGATGACAGAGAATGAGGTGGCTGGATGGAGTCTCTGAAGCAGTAGGCATGAGCTTAAATGGACTCCAGAAGATGGCAGAGGACAGGAAGGCCTGGAGGAACTTTGTCCATGGGGTCGCGATGGGTCGGGTACGACTTCGCAACTAACAACAACTAATACAGTGGTTCTCAACCTGTGGGTCGGGACCCATTTGGGGTTGAACGACCATTTCACAGGGGTTGCCAAACAACGCAGTCCGCCATTTTTTTCCCCCTTTTCCTTAGCTGTGCTACTCCCTTTTATTCTATTGGCTTTTGAAAGCCAATAGAATAGACTCTCTTGAATAGAGTCTAATTCTATTGGCTTTCAAAAGCCAATAGGAATTGTCCAGGCTGTCTCTGCCCTGCTGAGGAATTGTCCAGGCTGTCTCTGCCCTGCTGAGCCCGCCAAAAGTCCCATTCTGCAAACGGTGCTGCACCAGTTGAGTAGTCCTCGACTTACGACCAGTTGGGAGTCGCGGCATTAAAAAGGTTGAGAACCACTGAACTAATACTTCACTTAACAACTATGTCATTAACTTAACAACTGCAGTGATTCATTCATTCATTTATTTTTTTATTTATTTAACTTATTTGCCACCCATCTTGCAGCGAAACAGCAAGCTCTTGACAAGCGTGGCAAGAAAATCGTAAAACGGGGCAAAACTCACTGAGCAACAGTCTTGTTTAGCGACAGAAATCTGGGGGGGGGGGTCAATTGTGGTCGTTAAGCCAAAGAGCCAGCCGCATTTGCTTCCAGCTTCACCGAGCATTACTGAAGTTTCTTCCTGTGATGCCGCAACAGCGTGTCTCTCTGCCCAAAATCTTCCCCGCCTACGAAACCCCGATACGGCTTCTCTCCCGTGTGGATTCTCCGGTGCCTCAGCAACGTCTCTCGTTGACTGAAACTTTTCGGGCAAGTGGGACACGCATACGGTTTCTCTCCGGTGTGGACCCTTCCGTGTCGAATCAGCTTGGCTTTCTCGCTGAAGCTTTTGCCACACTGCGAGCAGCTGTGCGGCCTTTCCCCGGTGTGGGTCTTCTGGTGCGCAATCAAGTTCCTTTTTCTCCGGAATTCCTTCTGGCACAACGGACACTCGTAAGCCGCCTCTCCGCCTTGCATTATGGGATACTGGTTGGGCTGAATCCACTCGCGGGAGCGTCTCCCGCATGCGCTACGTGCGGCTGACCTCTCCCCCGTGTCGATCGTTTGGCGCGTAAAGCTTTTCTCCACGCCGGGACAGCTGAAAGATGTTTTGTCCTTGGTGTGGACGTCCCGGTGCGCCTTCGGTTTAATGTCGGTGTGGATCATCCGATGCTGGACCGTCGGCGGCTGATGGCGGAATCGTTCCCCGCATTCGGGACATGAATGTTTTTGCTCACTTATGTGGGTTAGATGCTGGTTAAGGGTCTGGCCCTGTTCCCAAAGCCACCTCCTTGGCAGCGTTCTCCCCTCTGGATTGTTTAAATCGGTGTCCCCTTTCTGGAAAAGGGGCCTCACCAGTCCTTCCCCACAGGACCTTTGTGTTTTGTGCGCTCCCTCCAGTTCGAGGCTGCCTGGCTGGAGCGTTTCTTCCTTGATCGCGGTTGCAGTGAGGTGATCTGAGAGAACAGGAAAGAAATTGAAAGCAAGCAGAGGAGGAAAGAAGAGAAAATACAGCTAGTCCTCAGCGTAATTAGTACAGGTAGTCCTTGACTTAGATCATAATTCAGCCCAAAATTTCTCTCAAGCTTCCTCCTTCCATTATATCAGTGGTGGCGAACCTATGGCATAGGGCCAGAGGTGGCACTCGGAGCCCTCTCTGTGAGCACATGCACTGTCGCCCCGGCCCGGCCTCCTCCCACGAACCCCTCCTCTCCAGCAGCCCCCCTGAAGGAGAGTCGCCCTTGAGGGCGGCCCACATTTAGCAGCGCAGCCAAGGACATTTATTTATTTATTTATTTATGAGACTTATATACCGCTTTAAGTGCAAGCATTCTCTAAGCGGTGTACACCAGTAAGCATTGTATATATATATTTACATTGCCCCCAACAATCTGGGTCCTCATTTTACCTACCTCGGAAGGATGGAAGGCTGAGTCAACCTTGAGCCGGTGAGATTTGAACCGCTGACCTGCTGAACAGTCAGCTAAAGTGGCCTGCAGTACTACACTCTAACTGCTGCGCCACCTCGGCTGACATGGCAGCCAGGCAGCGTAGACAAGACTCTGCCCTCATACCCCATCATGCAGTTGATGCTGCAGGGCGCGGGCAGAGGGTGTGGCCGCCATAGCGCTGCTGGGTTGCCTGGGCGATCTGTGGCAGGCCCTGGAGGTGGTGAGTGGTCCTGTGGGCAGGTGGGGCAGGGGATGGGGGGGGGCAGAGTGGGAGTGGGCAGGGGCGGGGCCAGTTTTTGGGCACTCGGTCTCTAAAAGGTTCGCCATCACTGCATTATATATTCAAGATGGACAGTATTTAATATTTATTTGTTATGTATATGTAGGGGTGTGGGTCTATACATATGTTGTACGTAATATGTGTAGGTGTGTGTCATGCATGTGTTTCACTTGGAGAGCGGGCAACTAAACTTCATTTTTGATGTGCGCTGTTGTGCCCACAGTAAAAAAAAAATGACAATAAAGGTTATCTAAACGGGACAATTGTTAAATGAATGAATTTTGCCCTGTTTTGCGACCTTTCTTGCCACAGTTATTAACTGAATCAGTACAGTTGTTAAATTAGAGACCTGGTTGTTAAGTGAATCTGGCTTCCCCTCCCCCACCATTGACTTTGTTTGTCAGAAGGTCTCAAAAGGGGATCACTTAATCCTGGGATCCTGCAACCGTCATAAATATGAGTCAGTTGCCAAGCGTCTGAATTTTGATCATGTGATCGTGGGAATGCTACGACGGTCATAACTGTGAAAAAAAAGTCATGTCACTTTTTTTCCAGCACCATTGTAGCTTCAAATGGTCACTAAATGAACTGTTGTAAGTCGAGGACTACCCGTACAGTGGTACTTTGCGACTCGAAGTTAATTAGTTCTGGAAGGCACGACTGGTACCCAAAATTACAAGTGTCAAACAAACCAGGGGGACCCTTTGCTTTGGCTGGGAAAAAAAATTCTGTCCTTTTTCCTGTATCAGTGACCTTCCCAGCATGGCCAACTTCCTGTCCGCCCTCTGCAGCCGCCCCCCTCTTCCTTTTTAGAATCATTTAGAATAACATAGAACTGGAAGGGACCTTGGAGGTCTTCTAGTCCAGCCTTCTGCTCAATCAGGAGAACCTATAACATCTCAGACAAGTGACTATCTAGTCCCGGGGTGTCAAACTCAATTTCACTGAGGGCCACATCAGCATTGTGGTTGCCCTGGGGGGGGGTGTGGCCAGGGTGGGTGTGGCCTACTGGGTGGGCGTGGATGGAGTGGGTGTGGCCTAATGGGTGGGCATGGCCAGCTCTACATCATTCGCGTCAAGGGTGCTTGTGGGGGGGCCTGGGAAGGAGTGGGACAGATCTGAGGGTCTCTGGCAGAAGGGGGTGGGACCAGGGCAAGCGCCAAGGCATGGTCCATTGGGGCAAGTGCCAAGATGGCCACCACAAAATTGTACATTGGCTCCTGGCTGGCCTGGGCTAGGGCCAAGGCAGCGGGGGCCGTTCCCTCACTGTTTTCATGATGGCTTTGCGGGCCACATGAAACCACTTCGCGGGCCGCATCCGGCCCCCGGGCCTTGCGTTTGACATGTGTGAACTAGTCTCTTTCTTAAAATATCCAGTGATGGAGCACCCACGATTTCTGAAGGCAAACTGTTCCCCTGGTTGATTGTCCTCAACTGTCAGGAAGTTTCTCCTTAATTCCAGGTTGCTTCTCTCCTTGATCAGTTTCCCACCATTGTTTCTCGTCCTGCCCTCTGGTGCTTTGGTGAATAACGTGACCCCCCTCTTCTTTGTGGCAGCCCCTCAGATACTGGAACACTGCTATCGTGTCTCAAATTCTTGTAGAAAACGTAAGAGACTTTTACAAATGCCAGAGGGTTTTAGCAGAGATTTATTTTGCACAAGGTTCAGAAGCAATCAACAACCAGCAATTCTGAACGAAGAGGGTGGGTTCAAACTACAGTTTTATACTTTCCATTTCTCAGGAAAAAAAAAGTTCACATAAATCTACATTGTATTTCCTTCCGTTAGTTTCTCACAGGCATACAATGAAGAGAGTTTTGCTTCATATAATGTTTCTAAATGCCCCGCACATTTGGTTAGTCACAGATTGCTTACACAGCTTTATTCCAGTAACTATGCAGACACATCATTTTTCTTTTAGTGATTTTTCATTATCATTATTATTGTATTAATAATTAATAACTCCCATTAAAACTGGCAAAAATTGAACTCTGATTTAAAGAAAGACTATTTAATCTACAAGAAGTGGGGAAAAAAATTAGGTATAATTTCAAAGATAAATAACGTACAATGTCCTGGGGTCATGTGATCCACTTTGGTGACCTTCTAACAAGCAAAGTCCATGGGGAAGCCACGTTCACTTAACAACCGTGTTACTAACTTAACAACTGCAGTGATTCACTTAACAACTGTGGCAAGAAAGGGCGTAACATGGAGCAAAATTCACTTAACAAATGTTTTGCGTAGCAAGAGAAATTTTAGGCTCAATTGAGGTCAATAAATTGATGGTTATCTGTAATGGAAAGGGGTTCTTTACTTACCCAAAGATGTTCCCTTTTCACGACCGTCTTGCAGGATCTCTTTGTAAAAAGCTTTGGGGGCTGCGTCCAATGAGGAGCTTTCTTCCTCAGTGAAATGCACAGACAGCTCGAAGTCCACCGATTCCTGAGCAGAGAAGAAGCTCAAATTGTGATTATTTTATTTATAATAGTAATAATAGTAATAGTAAAGTTGGAAGGGACCTTGGAGGTCATCTAGTCCAACCCCCTGCTTGGGCAGGAAACCCAAACCATTTCGGATAAATGGCTGTCCAGTCTCTTCTTAAAAACTTCCAGTGTTGGAGCATTTACCACTTCTGGAGGCAGGTTGTTCCACTGGTTAATTGTTCTAACTATCAGGAAGTTTCTCCTTAGTTCTAGGTTGCTTCTCTCCTTGATTAGTTTCCACCCATTGCTTTTTGTCCTGCCTTCAGGTGCTTTGGAAAATAGCTTGATTCCCTCTTCTTTAGGGCAGCCCCTGAGATATTGGAATACTGCTATCATGTCCCCCCTTGTCCTTCTCTTTGTTAAACTAGACATACCCAATTCCAGCAACCGTTCCTTATATGTTTTAGCCTCCAGTCCCCTAATCGTCTTTGTTGCTCTTCTCTCTCTCTCTCTCTCTCTCTCTCTCTCTCTCTCTCTCTCTATATATATATATATATATATATATATATATATATATATATATATATCTACCTACTTACCTACCCAGCCACCTAGTGGTACATTGGCATCTGGCAGGTGGTACGCGACCATCCTAGAAAAGTGGTAGTGGGGGAGGGGAATGAACTGAACCGGTGGCAGCACTGCACAAGCCTGAGTGAGAGATGGCTGGAGCTGCAGGGCTGTCAGGGCTCAGCGGAAGCGCCAGGATCAACGCTGGGCTCCATCTGGAGCTCGGCGCTGATCCTGGTGCTTCTGCTGAGCCCAGAAGAAGCGCCAATCAGCTGGAATGTTGCAGCATCTCCAGGGTCTTGTGATTTACATTCAGATGCTTGGCAACTGATTCGTATTTATGACGGTCACAGTGTCCCAGGGTCATGTGAAGTGACCAAAACCTGCTGCAACCACCCAGCAGGCGGGGGGGAAACCAAACACCCCCCACTCCACCCCCGCTGCCAATCCTCAACAGAAATGCTCACAACAATGAAAATCTTGGACAGGAGGAAGAGCGCCGCGGGCGGGCAGGCAGGTGTCTTGCTCGGCTGTGGCTTGGGGGGCACTTTTTTCAGTGCCATTGTAACTTCTAAGAGTCACTAAGCAAACTGTTGTTAAAGTGGAATGAAATAGAATAACATAGAATAAAAATAAGTATAATAATAATGACGATAATGAAAAAAATCACTAAAAGCAACATGATGTGTCTGCATAATTCCTGGAAGAAAGCTGTGTTAACTATACGTGAATGACCTAATGCATATTGAGAAACATTGTATAAAGTGAAACTCTCTATTCATTGTGTGCCTGTGAGAAACTAACTGAATGTTATACAATGTAGGTTCCATCTATGCTCCCTTTGTTCCTGAGAAAAGGAAACCTAGAAAGCTGTCGTTCGGACCCTCCCCCTTGTTCAGAAATTTGCTGTTTATCACTTCTGAACCTTGTGCAAAAATAAACCTCCCTGTTTCACCCTTTGGATTTTGTAAAAGTCCTTTTTCGTTTTCCACAAGATTTAAAGTCAAGGACTACCTGTACTTTATCATTTTTTTCCTTTTTTTTTTTTTTGGCCATCAAGTTTTTGACACCTTGCTAGGCAACTAGTGGTGCTCGGATATTGCCATATCCTAAAAGTGGTACAATGGGTGAAAAGGTTGAAAAGCCCTGATCTAGCCTAACCCCTGCACAGTGCAGGATCTTCTAAATCAGCGGTTCTCAACCTGTGGGTCGGGACCCTATTTGGGGTCAAACGACCATTTCACGGGGGTCGCCAAACAACGCAGACCGCCATTTTTCCCCCCCTTTTCCATACCTGTGCTACTCCCTTTTATTCTATTGGCTTTTGAAAGCCAATAGAATAGACTCTCTTGAATAGAGTCTAATTCTATTGGCTTTCAAAAGCCAATAGGAATTGTCCAGGCTGTCTCTGCCCTGCTGAGCCTGCCAAAAGTCCCATTCTGCAAACGGTGCTGCACCAGTTGAGTAGTCTCGACTTATGACAGGGTGAGTAGTCCTCGACTTACGACCAGTTGGGGGGGCGCGGCATTAAAAAGGTTGAGAACCACTGTTCTAAGTCTTTTGGACCGACAAATATATCTAGCTTCTGTTGAAAACGCTCTAGTACCTAATTGAGACTGTCATCTTTCTCCGTACAGGTAGTCCTCGACTTACAACTATTTGTTTAGCGACCGTTCAAAGTTAGCAACCACCGCTGAAAACAGTGACTTAGTCCTTGCACTTATGACTATTGCAGCATAATCAACATTTCTATCATATATTGTAGTAACATTCAGAAAAATTATAAGAAATATGAGTATTGTTACTCCTTTGCTGACCATTCAAATATTAAAATACCTGAGAAGCAATGTCATTTCATCCATTTTTTAATGGTGTTCACCTTATGAACGGTTGCTTAGCAACTGTTTGAAGTTATGACGCACCACAAAAGAGATAGGAGCTAGATTCCAAAGACACACACAAACACACACACACACACACCCATGTGACTAGTTTGGGAACTTGGCAACCAGGCTGCATTTATAGCTGTTAGCAATGCCTCATGGTGATCTGACTACAATTTACAATATTTTTGCCAGAAACCAGCAAAAAACACACCCATCACGACTAATGGGTTCATTTAATAACTGTGGCGTTTGCTTAAAGATTGCGGTGTTCGCTTTATGACCACTGCATGGGCTTAATAATCAACATGACTTGAAATCATAATTGTGGGCTCAATGACAGTTGTAAGTCAAGGACTACCTATCCAATATTGCCGCTCTTACAGAAAGCTGGTCACGAAGCCTCCCCCCCTCCCGCCAGATGTTTACAAACCTCAGTTGGTCCAGTTTCAACAAAGTGTTGTCCCTCAGGCAGAGATACTGGATGGTTACAGGGGCTGTTCTCATTATCTAAGGAGGATAATAATAATAATAATGACAACAACAAAACAACAACAATAATAATATTAATAATAATAATAAAGTTGGAAGGGACTTTGTAGGTCATCTAGTCCAACCCCCTGCTCAGGCAGGAAACCCTATACCAGGGGTAGGCAACCTTGCCTCTTTTATGACTCGTGGACTTCAACTCCCAGAATTCCTGAGCCAGCATGGCTCAGCTTGGAAACCTCTCCCTTTCCCCTCAGCATGGCTGGCTCAGGAATTCTGGTATTTGAAGTCCACGAGTCATAAAAGAGCCGAGGTTGCCTACCCCTGCCCTATACCATTTCAGACATCTGTAGAAGACAAGATTGATTTCTTACATTTTTATCTTTTTCATTTCCATGAAATATGCCCAAGAGGACTGACTGCAATAAAATACAATAACCATTCACATGACCTAATAAAACTATAACATTAAAAATAAATGTGTGCTAATTATAACTACCAAAATGAAGCTAAAGTGTTCTTTCGCTTACCCATGGACTCCCCTTGAATTGGGCCTTTGGTTTATTATGTGCCATCAAGTCGATGGTAGCAAAATACAGAAGTAGACAGATTTTCTCCATAGGCTTTTCTAGGACTTATTTATGGCAATAAACAGGGCCTAATTCTAGGGGTTTTTTTTTCCGCTAAGACTTATTTACGGCAATAAATTGGCTTTCATTTTAGTTTTTTTTCGCTAAGATTTATGGCAATAAACAGGCTCTTATTCTAGGTTTTTTTCGCTAAGACTTATGGCAATAAACTGGCTCTAATTCTAGGGGTTTTTTTCCGCTAAGACTTATTTATGGCAATAAACGGGCTCTAATTCTAGTTTTTTTTTCCGCTAAGACTTATTTATGACAATAAATTGGCTCTAAATCTAGCTTTTGTCCCACTTTCTTATATAATAATAATAATAATAAATAAATAATAAATAATAACAACATCAATAATAATAATAATAATAGTTGGAAGGAACCTTGGAGGTCATCTAGTCCAACCCCCTGCTCAGGCAGGAAACCCTATACCATTTCGGACAAATGGCAGACACAGCAATTCTTTTCATTGCAACTGTGCAGGCAATCCTTGACTTATAAGCGGTTGCTTAGCAATCAAAGTTATGACCTACCTGGAACAAGAAAGTTATAATCTGGCTCTGAAGTTCCAAATGGCCACCCCCCCACCCCCACCCCCAACCACTGCAGTCACACAACCGCATTTCAGGTGCTTGACAACACAGCCATTTGCAGAATCTTGCAGTTCTATTATCACACTTTACAACGGTTGCGCCAAAAACGTGAAGTTACTTCCGTTTTTCAGCAAAACCACTCTGTCGTAAAAAAACGGCTTTGCTTAATAATTGTCAGTGAGCATTGCTGGCTGCGGAGTTCTGAGAACTGAAGTCCGCTTGTCTTAAAAGTTGCCAAATTTGAAAAAAAAAAATTCTGAGATTAAATGTTGAAAAAGTTTAATTCTCCTTGCGGATTCTAACACCGGTGTTATTGTCAGAGTTGCCAAATTCTGCTTTAGCCCCTGCGCTGAGACAAATTATGAAATCTGGCTTAGTTTGTCAAGGACAGCATATTGTTTTCTGCTATGAACTGACTGTTGCACAATGTGTTGCTCGTTTTCATGAACCATAATAAAGTATCAGTGAGTGCAAAATTGTAAGGTAATTTTTACACGCAAACCACTCATGAGCTCCCGTGTTCACTCTCCGGAGGACATGTAATAAGCACTTTAAATAAAATACCCAAACCAGGTGGTGCAGCAGTTAGAGTGCAGTACTGCAGGCCACTTTAGCTGACTGTGTTCAGCAGGTCAGCGGTTCAAATCTCACCAGCTCAAGGTTGACTCAGCCTTCCATCCTTCCGGGGTAGGTAAAATGAGGACCCAGATTGTTGGGGGCAATGTAAATATATATATACATTGCTTACTGGTGTACACCGCTTAGAGAGTGCTTGCACTTAAAGCGGTATATAAGTCTCATAAATAAATAAATAAATAAAATATCATCTAGTGACCTCACACTAATGGTTTGAAAGGATAGGATTTGGCACACTTAAATGTTTTTTTTTTTAAATATAAATTTTTTTCCCCCTTAACGTATGTTAATTTTTCCAATCAACGTTGTCTGGAGTTTGCTATGCTAATACATGTTCAATTCCTAATCCTTCATTCTTTTCTCTAGCCAAGAATAAAATAAGTTCCAAATTTGATAGTAATCTGTATCTTCTTTATCTTTTAACCTCATAGTTAATCTGTCCATCTCTGCACATTCCAATATTTTCCTGATTATTTCTTCCTCTGATGGCAGTCCTTCATTCTTCCAGTATTGTGCAAAAATTATTCTCGTTGCTTTAGTGATGTGTAAGATTAAATATAATTTCTGCTTATTAGTCTTTTGAGGCATAATACCTAGTAAAAAAAGTTCCAAGTTTAAAATCCACTTGTTCACCCAATATTTTTTCTAACCACATATGTATCTTTCTCCAATAGGCCTTTGCCCTACCACATGTCCACCAAATGTGATAATACGCGCCTATGTTATGTTTACATTTCCAACATCTATCTGACATATTTTTAAACCTTTTTGCTAATCTTGCTGCTGGTAGGTGCCATCTATAAAACATTTTATACAGATTTTCTTTATATGAAGTTGACATGGTTAATTTATAGTTTCTCTCCCATAACATTTGTCATTTTTCTAATTCTATATTACAGCCAAAATTTTTTGCCCATCTTGTCTCTGTTTCTTTCACTTGTTCACTTTCCATATCTAAAATTAACAAAAAGTTATACATTTTCTTGATTAATTTCTCATCTGAGGTTAACAAAATCTTATCAAACACAGTTTGATCCTTGTAAAATCCATACGTTTTTACATCTTTTTCATATCTACTTTGTAATCTGTAAATGTGGCACACTTAAATGTTTTCCTTGCATCAGACATCAAGTCAACGGTGCTAAATCACAAACCTGGATGTGTTGATCTCCAATCCCTCAGGATGTGCTCTTCGTTCTCCACAAACGGCACTTCCCTTACAGGATTGCGTGCATCTCCTATCCTGTCTTTGGGAGATACTGGCACCTGAAACAGAGATGGAAAAATCCAGTGAGATTTGAAGACTATGTTACAAAAACTATACTTTCACCCAGGTTTTGCGTGGTCTGCGCTGGCTCAGAATGCTTTAATTTCACAGCCTCACAATAAGCGTTTGTACAGAACTGCCATTTCTAAACACCCAACAGTCCTATGAGGAATGTTTCACTGAGGGAAAAAAGATCAGGAAAAGGTGACACTTTTCACACCCAAGTGCGAATTTGAACTCAGAGCTTATCATTCTTATCTAACAAAGTCAATCTGTGAGATGGGCGGTCTCTAAAATTAACATAAATAAGAGAGTACAGGTCGTCCTCAGCTTACAAGCCCAAAATTTCTTTTGGTAAGTGAGACCGTTGTTAAGGAAGTTTTGCCTCATTTTACGACCTTTGTGAATAATGGAAGTTGTTAAATTTAGTAACATGCTTGTTAAGTAAATCTGGCTTCCCCCGTTGATTTTACCTGTCAGAAGTTTGCAAAAGGGAAACAGGAAACCTAGGGACAACTGGGTCATAAATATGAGTCAGTTGCCGAGCATCTGAATTTTGATCATGTGACCACGGGGATGCTGCAACAGTGACAGGTGTGGAAAAATGGTCATGGTAACTTCGAACGGTCACTAAACGAACTGTTGTAAGTGGAGGACTAGCTGTTATAGCTGTTCCTTAGTATAACATTCCTTCCGTGACTCTCCCAGGCTCCCTGTTGTCTCTCCCGGAGCTCTTTAAAGGAGGAATATAATATACAGGTGGTCCTCGACTTACAACTGTTGGTTTAGTGACCATTCAAAGTTACAAAGCCCTGAAAAACGTGACTTACGGCCGTTTTTTCAGAGTTATGACCTTTGCAGCATCTCCATGTGATCAAAATTCAGAGGCTTGGAAAGTGGTTCATATTGCTGTGTCTCAAGGTCAGGGGGAGTCAACCTTGGCTCTTTTATGACTCGTGGACTTCAATTCCCAGAATTCCTGAGCCAGCTCCCAGGAATTCTGGGAGTTGAAGTCCATGAGTCATAAAAGAGCCAAGGTTGACTACCCCTACTCAAGGTCATGAGATCGCCTTTGACCATCTTCTGACCAGCAAAAACAAGGGGGACGCCAGGTTCAATTAACAACCATGTTACTAACTCAGTGATGGCGAACCTTTTAGAGACCGAGTGCCCAAACCGCAACCCAAACCCCACTTATTTATCGCAAAGTGCCAGGGCCGCATCAGCATTGTGGTGTCCCCGGGGGGGGGGAGGGCAGGGAGGCGCCTCTGAGGGCCGCTTCTGGCACGCAAAAACCAGGGGCGCAAAAACGGGCCACCGTGCTGCAAGGCGCAAAAACGGCCGCCACCGCACCGCAGGGTGCAGATACAGGGCGCCGCACCACGCAAGAACAGGGCAGGGCTAGTGAGTATCACGCAGGCACTAACCCCGCCCCCTTTGCAGCGTGTGCGTGCTCGCGGCCCCGTGCGCACATGCAACGCATGTAAAATGCTTCCCCCTCCTTTTTCTTCCAGTCCACCAATCGACAATGTTTGGCGACCTCTGCTCTACCACCTCTACTCGAGCTTGCCAATCGGTCTCTTCACCTCCTGTGCTGGGCGGGGGTCCTGCTCCGGGCGGCAATGGTGGCCTAATGGACCTGCTGCTGGCGGTGGTGGCGCACGTGCCAACAGAGAGGGCTCTGAGTGCCGCCTCTGGCACGCGTGCCATAGGTTCGCCACCACTGTACTAACTTAGCAATCGCAGTGATTCACTTAACAATTGAGGCAAGAAAGGAAATAGGCTTGAATTATTGGCCACCCCAGAAAATTTAGATAACAAAGGACACTCCATTATTAAGGTGATGATGTATTAGGGCAGTGATGGCGAACCTTTTAGAGACTGAGTGCCCAAACTGCAACCTAAAACCCACTTATGCATCGTCGAGTGCCGGGTGAGTGTGGCCCATTGGGTGGGCATGGCCCATTGGGTGGGTATGGCTGCAGTGATAATGGCAGACTGGGTGGGACTAAAAAGTTCAATCAATCAATTCCAACTTTGCAAGAACTTTTTTTTCCCGCGAGAAGTTGAAATTGACTGATTAAATCTTTTTTTTTTTCCACATGGCGGTGGAGGCCTAAAGCGAAAAGGTTTTATAAAACCCAGCTGAAGGCCTAGGACTGGGGCAACGACGCGGGTGCCCACAGAGAGGGCCTCTGAGTGCCATCTCTGGCACCCGTGCCATAGGTTCGCCACCACTGTATTAGGGGGAGAAATAGAAAATGTTTACGAAATAAAATTGGAATATATCTAAGTAAGTAATATGTGCATTTTAGACATTATAATTTTTACATAGTGAGACAAAGGAAATTTGGCTTACCCGAAACTTAAATACTTTGGATATTGAAGGTTAAATTGGAGTACTGTAACTGAAAACTAAAAATTAGGTAAAACTTCAAAACAGGATATGGATATGTATCAGCAAAAAAATGTATTGATACATGTGATAATGAAGTCTTAACAGAGTTTGATACAATTAGAAACTTACCAGCTTAAATAGGATATAGCAAATGTTAAGGGAAACAGAGAAGAAATATTTGAGGATGTAACCTGAGATATGTCCTAAAGATTCTGTTATTGAACTTTTGACTAACCCAATCACCACGTTACTTTCCAAATATTCAAATATAAAACTGGAAAATCAATAAAACTTATATATATAAAAAAAACCAACTGAGGCAAGAAAGGCTGTAAAATGGGGCAAAACTCACTTAACCAACGTCTCATTTCACAACAGAAATTTTGAGCTCAGCTGTGGTCGTAAGTTGAGGACTACCTGCAAATGTAACATATAAAGGTGTTACAAAGGGCTGATGAACTCACCCCTTTTCCAATACCTCCAGATCTCACCTGCCGTTTCCATGTCTTGGCCTCCGGTTGGCTCATCAGGAAATCCTTCGCCAGATCTGTAGTCTGGACCCAGTTCTCTGGGTCACACTCCCAGAACCAGCTCTGGATCTCTGCGGGAAGGATGGCCAGGAACTGCTCCAGGATCAGCAGCTCCACGATCTGCTCCTTGGTGCGTCTCTCCGGCTTCAGCCACTGGTGGCAAAGCTCCCGGAGGTGGCTGTAAACCCTTCGTGGGTCTTCAACTTCCTGGTAGCGGAACTGGCGAAAGTGCTGGCGCTGGGCCTCCATTTTGAAAGTTGCCTCTCGCAAGATGGCAGCCTTGACTTTCCCATAATCCTCTTGGTCCCCGCTTTCTAGGCCATTAAAGACTTCTCTGGCTTCTCTGCTCAGTGCCGGCAGGAGCCGGGCTGTCCATTCAGCTTTAGGCCACTGGCAAGCCTCAGCGACTTGCTCGAAGGAGATCAGAAAGGTCTTGGCATCGTCCCAGGGGTCAGAATTCCTCTGTCCCCCAACCGAATGAGGGAGCCGCCTTGCCATTAGGGAGTCCTGCCCCTGGCCTTCCCGATCCTTGGCCTGCCCTCCTTCAGGATCTCGTTTGATCTGTTTCGATGCTAGGCAGCCTGGAAACTCTCCAGGAACAAAGGCCTTCCCCAAATTCAGATCCATCAATGGGTCTAATTGTTTCATCTTTGCATCCCGCACACAGCCTCCGTTTTCACGCAACTTCCTTTCCTGGCTAGAAATCTTTATTTACAGGATTTATTTATTCATACGGCCGCCTGCTCATGTTCAGTGACTCTAGGCCAGTGGTTCTCAACCTTTTTAACGCCGCGACCCCCCCAACCGGTCGTAAGTTGAGGACTACTCAACCGGTCGTAAGTCGAGGACTACTCAATTGGTGCAGCACCATTTGCAGAATGGGACTTTTGGCAGGCTCAGCAGGGCAGAGACAGCCTGGACAATTCCTATTGGCTTTTGAAAGCCAATAGAATTAGACTCTATTCAAGAGAGTCTATTCTATTGGCTTTCAAAAGCCAATAGAATAAAAGGGAGTAGCACAGCTAAGGAAAAGGGGGAAAAAAAATGGCGGATTGCGTTGTTTGGCGACCCCCGTGAAATGGTCGTTCGACCCCAAATGGGGTCCCGACCCACAGGTTGAGAACCACTGCTCTAGGTGGCTTACAAATAATAAAAAAAATCCAGTATAAAAAGAGAAAAACAATAATACCACCCCCCCCCCGCACACACACACGCCTGGTGACAACAAGCAATCAAACCAATCTTTGCTCTACGTTTAGACTCTTCACCAGCCCAGCAAGAGTCCACTTGTTTGTCAAGTCGGCTGAAGTGATTGATTTGAGGAAGGCAGCTGCTCTTTCATTGAACGGTGCATTTCATGTGGGACGTAGGACAAACTGCATCACATTCCAGAAATCTCCCAACAGATTTCACCTCTAGTCACGGAGGTATCCTGTAGAGAAAAGAATTATTTTTAACTCCTTTGATGAACTCCAGGTCCCATTGTCCCCTCCTACTGTAACCAATGGTCAAATATAATGGGGGAGGGAATGTTACTCCGCAACGCTTGGAGGATCCACATGCTCCTTTTTTCCTGGTACAGGTAGTTCTTACTTAACGATAATTGGGATCGACAACTCACTAAGCCAGTGATGACGAACCTTTTAGAGACTGAGTGCCCAAACTGCAACCCAAAACCCACTTATGCATCGTTGGGTGCTGGATGGGTGCGGCCCGTTGGCTGGATGTGGTCCATTGGCTGGACATGGTGCGGTGGTAACGGGACTAAAAAGTTCAATCGATCAATTCCAACTTTGCAAGATCTTTTTTTTTTCCCGCGAGAAGTTGAAATTGACTGATTGAACCTTCTTTTTTTTTTTTTTTTGCACACAGAGGCGGAACTCACATCTTGTTAATCTTTTATTGCAAAATTATATATTCAGTTCTTAACATAAATTTAATTTGTTGTGTTTAAGGCAAATGTTTATAGTAAATTTTACACTAAAAATTTAAAAAAGATTTTAAATTCACCAATGATTTTTTTAAAATAAATTATTTACCTTTCGCACATAGTCAATCACTGTATGCATACCCACACACATCAGTGGTGTAACGAAACATAACGGTCGCCGCCTGCAATAAGCAGTCAGTGCGCGACCACATGACCCATCACAAGCTGAGCAGTGCTACAGGCCAAGTAGTGCCATCACAACCAGCTCCATCACAACCAAGCAGCGCCATCACAACCAACACGGACAAAATACGCATGCATTGGACTCAATGTACAAGCAGCCCGCATGAACCGTTTTAATGATTTTGCTGCCGACCTACTACGCTCGACAGGGCAATTCAAGTCCACATGGAGCAAACATCAAATTTTCAAAAATTACTTTTAAAAATCCATAGAAAAAAGGTGCCGGAACTCCAATCTGGTGCGTTCTATGACAAAAAAAGCAGTGGGCTTAGGGTTTCACTTCCACTGTGACTGTTAAGCGAATCATCGTGAACACCGAGCAAGACACCATGTCCCCACAATGGGCTTACGATATTACTTCCATTGCCGTCGTTAAGCAAATCGCCTTTAAGCGAGACTTCACACGACTTGCAATTTTACTGTGGGCTCCTTCGTTGATTCTGCTTGTCGGAAGCCAAGTTGGGAAGTGGACAAAAGGTGATCACAAGACACCACGAGAGTTGTACATTGTGAAGTGCCCGAGTCTCAATCACGTGACCGTGTGGGAATGCTACCATGGTCCTTAATTATGATCGGTCATAAAATTGCTTTTTCAAAGCCGTAACTTCAAACCATTGCCAAACTGGGCAGCTGTTAAGGAAGAACTACCTGTAGAGCAGGGGTGTCAAACTGCCGGCTCGCAGGCCGGGCGCGTCACGCAGAAGCCATACCCACCCCACTGCCGTCAAGGGCAAAACAGTCCCGATATGTTGCGCAACGTCACATGATGTCGCAAGTTTGACATGTCTGCTGCAGAGCATCTTTTTCTCAATCCTTTATGATATAGTTCAGTGGTGGCGAACCTATGGCACGGGTGCCAGAGGCGGCACTCGGAGCCCTCTCTGTGGGCACACATGCTGTTGTCCCAGCCCCGCCTCCCCCTCATCAGCAGCCCCCCCCAGAGGAGAGTCACCCCCGGGTGCCGCCCGGACAGAGCAGTGCAGCCAAACATAAGGCAGCTGGGCAGCAGACGATGCTGTGGGGTGCGGGCAGAGAGCGTGGCCACCATGGCGCTGCAGGCCGCCTGGGCGATCTGCGGTGGGCCGTGGATGGCCCTGAGAATGGGCAGGGTGAGGGTGGAGCAGAGCGGGGGCAGGCTGGGGGCGGGGCAGTTTTTGGGCACTTGGTCTCTAAAAGGTTTGCCATCACTGACATAGTTGCTGATGTGCTAAGAAACTGGGATGTGCCCGACTCCTATTGGCTACTTCAGGGGGCTCCTGGCATCTTCCCGCCCCCATCCTGTGTGAGCACCTTGATCCAGACACCTGGTTCCCCAGAGGCGCCTGGTACCCTGATGCTTGTCAGGTCTTATGGAGGCTCTTTCCCTTCATGGATTTAAGGCTCTTTGGGAAGAAGGTCCAGTCCTGGGCTGCACTGTAAGGACCCACCCCACTTTGCATCTTAAGAAGACAGAACTCTTGGAATATTTCTTCCAACAGGCATCCTTTATTAAGAGAAAATGGTTGCAGGCGTTCTAGACAGGACTTGGGAGCCAAGCCCTACGGTTCAAGGTTTTAAGGGGTTCTCAGCAACCCCACCCCACCCCACCATCCTTCCAGTGACAATCCCAGGCGTTACATTTCCACTCCCTTTTTCCTAACTGCCAGCAGAAGGGAGACTTCAGAGGGGAGTAGATGAAAGCTGATAGCCCCATTGTTATGTGTAGTCCTTTTGGTGGTATCCACAAAAACCCCTTTGTTCACCCCCCTTTCCCTTCATCGTATGACAGAATCCAGAGAGGGCAGAAATGGGGTTTTCCATAGTCGATAACTAGAGATGAAATATAATTGGAAGGTCAAGTGAAACGAGGAAAAAGAGCCCGTTATGTCGGTTTCATGCTGCCAATTCCTCCACCTCCCCAGTGTACATTCGTGAGCATTCAGCTCCTTCGGCCCACAAAGGGGGTTTCATTATTCCTGGTCCCTCCTGTGGGGGGTCTCTGCCCTCTTCCCTTCCCAGCTCAAGGAAGATCGGCTGAGTTTGGATCGGTCCCCTCTTTCAGCCAAGAGCTCGGGCACAACTGGAGAAAGAAGTTCAGCACAGGCAGCCATCAGCCTGCGACTGTTTGAAGTTACGACGGACCCAACTCACACACACACACAAAAGGTATTTATGCACCCGGATCCATAACGGGCAGACTCCATTATGGTTGTAAGTCAAGGACCACCTGAACGTATTTATTTTTATTTATTATGAAATTTAGAAACCGCCCATCTCACTCACAAAGTAATTGGTTTGCCTTGTTCGGAAAACATTCATCCATCCATTTGGGTCCACCTGTCTTGTAAAACACAACGCAGGAGGGGGGGGTGCACAAAAATGTTGTTGTTGTTAGTTGCGAAGTCATGTCCGACCCATCGCGACCCCATGGACAATGTTCCTCCAGGCCTTCCTGTCCTCTACCATCTTCTGGAGTCCATTTAAGCTCACGCCTACTGCTTCAGTGACTCCATCCAGCCATCTCATTCTCTGTCGTCCCCTTCTTCTATTGCCCTCAATTTTTCCCAACATCAGGCTCTTCTCCAGTGAATCCTTCCTTCTCATTAGGTGGCCAAAGTACTTGAGTTTCAACTTCAGGATCTGGCCTTCTAAAGAGCAGTCGGGGTTAATCTCTTCTAGGACTGACCGGTTTGAACGCCTTGCAGTCCAGGGGACTGTCTTGGAAAACACAACGCAGGATGGAGGGGGCGCACAACTATAATAGAACCAAAACCAACAAAATGGATGCCTGACACACAAAGACTCACACATGCCCAATCTCCAAATCCTCAGTCCCAACCTTACCGTGACCCAGGACCTGGGGGAAAAACAGCCCTCTACAGCTTTCTGGAAGGCTAGAAGGGTGGGGGGGCCTGCAGGCTCCCCCAGGAAAGGGTCTTCCACAGGGCAGGGGCTGCAACAGAAAAGTCACCCTGGGCCCCACTAGATCAGGGCTTTTCAGCCAGTGGTACGGGTACCACCTGTGGTACATTAGCACCTGGCAAGTGATATGTGAGCATCCTAGAAAAGTGGTAGCGGGGGAGGGGAATGAGCTGAACCGGTGGCAGCACCGCACAAGCCTGAGTGAGAGATGGCTGGAACTGCAGGGCTGTCAAGGGCTCAGTGGAAGCGCCAGGATCAGTGCCAGGTTCCAGCTGGAGCTTGGTGCTGATCCTGGTGCTTCTGCTGAGCCCAGAAGAAGCGCCAATCAGCTGGAATGTTGCAGCCTCTCCAGGGTCTTGTGATTTACATTCAGATGCTTGGCAACTGATTCATATTTATGACGGTCACAGTGTCCCAGGGTCATGTGAAGTGACCAAAACCTGCTGCAACCACCCAGCAGGCGGGGGGAGGAACCAAACACCCCCCCACCCCACCCCCACTGCCATTCCCCAACAGAAAAGCTCACAACAATGGAAATCTCAGACAAGAGGAAGAGCGCCACGGGTGGGCAGGCAGGTGTGTTCCTCGGCTGTGCCTTGGGGGGCACTTTTTTCAGTGCCATTGTTTTGGGCATTAGTTTCATGGAAGACAATTTTTCCATTGGCGGGGGAGGGAAGTTTCAGGATGATTTAAGTGCATTACATTTATTCTAAATTTTCTAAATAAACAAACCGATAAATAATGCCATTTATTTCTGAAGAGATCAAAATGTAACCTTTTATAACCCAGCCATTGTTCAAACTTTGTTT